AAAAAAAATAAAAACTAGTCTATCGAGGGAAAGGACAGGACGTTCTGTACTTGGCTGCACTTGCAAACTCTCTTGAGCAGAAAGCCACAATGCGATAGCTTAAGCTTTAAGCTTTGGTTATTAGGTGATAGGTCAATGTTTACATACCCTACAGATTTCAAAATCGAAACTAAAGAGTTAAATCTAAAGTAATCTAAAGTATAGCAAATAATGCTATACAAGAGAAAGAAATAATTGTCAAATCAAAAAAAAAAAAAAGTTAGCAATTTGAGGGGTAGGCTGGTTCCGCAACTTTTTTTGCGCAACAGGGTCATTGTGCAACTGGGTCGTTTGCGCAACTCACCATAACTTTCTTATAAGTAGGCTAATCTTTATATGATTTTGATTTCATTTATTTGCACTCATTGAGATCTACAAAATGATGATCCTGTTGCGCAAAAAAAAAAGTTGCGAAGCAGCCTACCCCCAATTTGAAAACTCTTTGAAACTTTCACTTGTTTCAAATGTAAATTTTCTGCAACAAGAAATTTCTTTTACAAGCTTTGATTAGAGATTTTAAAACTATCAAATAAGTTCTAGATCTAATCAGTTTTTCTGCACACAACAACATACTTGAAGACTATTTTCTTTGATTTCTCAAGACTTAAATGAAACTTATCCCATTCCTTTTAGTGTCATTTAGTTTTGGTTGGTCCCTCTAAAAATATTATTCTCTTTGTAAAGACACAAGAATTTTCAAAACTGAATCAGACTTTGTCCCCTTTTCTTTTGTCCCAGCCCCACCCCAATTTTTCCACTACGAGATATCGCGTAACCACAGACCGATCCCGAGAACAAAAAAACGACCTGAACCTGAAGAGATAACCGAGCTCTCGGAGATTTCTGAAAAATGTTTCAAAATAGCTTCAACAAATTGAAATCACCAATTGTTCTCCAGTCAGTGAGGATTAGCCCAGTAGATTGTATTACTTGCTTTTTGAAACTGGCATTGAATTGGCTCAGTGTGTCGAGTATTAACTAAAGCTATTGCAGTTTGGCAATAACTTTAGGCGGTTCCTCCATTCCCGTCAGGAGTGAAGGAAAAAAGTCAGGAGAATTTCAGGCTAAGTCATGCCGAGACCGAATCTCGATATTGATTTATCTGGCATCCTACGGCTTTTAGTTTCTGAAGCAAATCTTAATACTAGAAGATAAGTTGACTATATCGGCAACGTTATTTGAAGAGAACTGATGTGTGGAAATGAAATGTTTTATAATATAACAATAGAATAAGCAAAAAATTCTTTGTTTTTGTTAGTTCTCTGCTCCTCACTTGTTGGACAATATCGAGTGTATGATGAATTGGAGACGGAAAACCTGAAGATAGAAAGTATTAGGTTATAAACTAAATAACTGACCTTTTAGATTTTCCAATGGTGCAAACGTTTTAGCATTTGTAAAACTAATTTTTAGTGAAAAGTTCGATTATTTCGTTGAAAGCCTAGTTAAAGTTAAAATAGAGGTTTAAATATAAGCAGGAAATGTGAATTTTTATGGTATGCTATGTAAAATAATATCGTGTTCAAAAATCGGACGTAAAAACCTTTTATGCACTTAATTTTTCAATTTGGTTACAGTAACAATTGGTGTCAAATGTGCAACAAAAGAACACTTACCAAGTAAACATAAAGAAATAAGCAATAAAGCTTAATTAGTATTTGTTAGCTTTCCAAATAATCCAAGTGTACTTATGTACTATAGAATCTACAGTGTGTTTTCAAGGTTACGATTAGGAGCAGTCTACAGTACAAGAGTGTACTGTAGGCTGCTGTTTAAATTAAAAATAATACTGTTAAACTTCAGGCTTTCATCTATAAAATGTGAATAATGGTTTATCGTTTTGAAATTTGATGGGAGAGTTACTTATATTGTTAGCGATACTACCAAGAATAACCCATTATCTCTAGTTTACTCAAATCAACTTCTTCAACCCAATCCTGGTCAAAGGTGAAAAGGAAAATTTTTGCAAGATTTATAACGTGGCCATTTTTTCGAACTCTCCAATCTTTGCCCATCTCTACTCTCCTGAAAAAAATCGCAGTTGCTTTCATCAAATTTTTCACCGTTTTTAGCCAGCCGAATGTTTCACCGTTTTTGGGAGAGAATTCCCCCAAAAACCCAGCTAATCCCTTATGCCCACATTTGATAAACGAGGGGCGGGGTGTGAATAAATGGGTTTGACGGCGGCTTATCAGTTCTTCAGATTTTCAATCCGATTTACGAAGCGGATTATTGAAGCTCTATGGGCCCAGGCGATTAATTTCACTTCATTTTCTGAGTCTTTGTTGTGCGGCGGTGATGATCGATCCCCGAGATCTAGAAAGCCTCTTTTCTCATTCATTCTATTGTTTCCAGGGTTTTCTATAGCTGTAGAAGAGATTGCTTTCGGTTTTCTTCTGAATACTGATTTGAGCAATACCGTAACCCCATTGTTCTTAGTTAGCATTTAGCTCTGGTGTTGTTGCTTCTAGAGTGGGTAAAAGACAAAGAAAAGCAACCGGGCTACCGAAAAAACTTGCTAGAATGCTCGAACAACAGCCGAAGAATGGTAACTACTTTCAAACGCATTTTAGTCCAGAAAGTTTGGTACTCTTTGTAAAACTGAAAACATTACTTTAAGATCCATTCCTTTCCTTAAGACAATTACCAAATCTATTCTACTAAAATCAAAAGTCTTCAAATATCTGAAACCAAAGTACTAACCTTAACAATGATTTTCACGGTGTTTTTCAATCTTTATTTTCAAATTCATTGCTTCCAAGATACTATAAAATAACCAATGTGAATCTGGATGGGTCATTATTCATGTTGTGGCAACTGTGGCCCTGATCGACTCGGTTCCGGCGGATATTCTCTGCGATTCCAGCTCAGCTTTCACCGATCGACAAGGAAACCTTCTGAAAAGTCTGCAAAAAAGCTGTCAATGTCGCGGAAACTTAATTACATAGAGTAAAGGCTACTACGTAAACAATAGATAAAAATAACGTATGGCTTGCACCAACAGAGTGCCTGGTGCTACTAATTACCGACTGGACATACTGAACTGGAGTACCAGTTTTTGCAAGCTATTCCGAGCTTGAAACGTGGTTCCAGTGGGGCAGAACCAACACTAAATAGCATTGGCCAAAGCCAGAATAAAAAGTATATAAATTAGCACTGAAGTTAACAATTGAGTTGTTTTCCGCGCTTTCACCAATTATTTTTTCAGAAAGCTGTCAGGAGTGTGTAACACGGTGACCGCTTCACTTTTGGACGGAGAAAGAGTTGCATATTTTTGGATGCGAAGAAAAGGTTCGTTTTGTTCTGATTTTGATTTTCTTTCTCTCATAAAGAAAGTTCTTAAGCTAGATTCTTGGTCTATTGGGTTTCTGTGTTTAGTACAAGACCCGGAAAACAGTCTTATCAGGCGTTCTCTGTGGAGAGGACTTGTGCAATACACTTCTCGAGCTCGGACTACGTGAGTGCATTTTGCGGGAAATTTACAATCAGTCAAAGTTTGGGGGAAAGGAAGCTGGAGAATGCAAGGAATGTACCTGATAAAATTTGTAAAAAGAATATGTGCTCGATCAAGTACTTCTAGTTGTAAGGGTAGTAGGGCAAAGTACCAAAATTGGAGTGGCTCGAGCAAATTAAATTGTATAGTTAATGATGAGAATGCTTGATTTGTGAATATTAATGTCAGGGAAAAGCAGGAAAAAGCCAGAGAATTTCAATCCCGCTCAAAAATTGCTTATAAAGGATCCTATGTACCAATAAGCAATTATTCTATTTAGCTACTTTCGACGAGATAATCGAACCTTTGCAAAATTTGACATTCACTTGCTATGTGGGTCTCAAGCACGGCATGTTTACGGTTGGAGGAATTCAACAATGCGATGGCGCTTGTGGAACGCTTCAAGCAACTGCCAACGGGCTCGACCTCAGAAGCGTTTTCTGCGCAATACCATGTGGCCTTTGTGCTGCTTTCTTGAAGGTGAATAGGGGAAATGAGGATACCATTAGACACATTCTTCGCGACGTCGGTATTTAGGGCATACAGTCACATGTAGTCGTTAACTGTTTTACCGATAATTTCGTGAAAATTCAAAGATAAACGAAACTACTATAGTCATTCGATAACTTCGAATCTCCTCTTGAAAACCAGTACAAAGGTACCGAAGAACTTTCTGTGGAATAAATAACAAAAATCCTTAAAAACTCGAGTTGATACCAGAAATAATCGTCATTAGTACAGCCCACCTGGTATCGTCGGGAACGTGTTAATTTCCGAATTCCCTAGAAGATCTAGGGTTTTCTTTAAAGCAAGCTTTCATAAACCTTAAGCCGAAATGCCACAAATCGTTCAATCAAATGTGAAAATCAAGACCTATTAACTTATCAAGTCACTCCCTGAAAACTGATGTGGCTTAGAATGCCACCGATCCCTACGAGGCTTGCATCACCGTCGGCGGAAACCCTAACCGCATGCTGCTGTGAGGAGGTCAAACTGCTGCGCGCTTGACCTGAGCTCGGCATAATTTCTTTTTAATATTTCTTCTTGGTTCCATGTCGCCCGATCATCCCGCCACTTCCCACGGCGACAATCGGTGCCAGATCGCTTGCTACTCGGGAATTCACCTCAGCGGTGCGCTGATCACTGGCGGAGAATATGTGGCTTGTCAAGGGAAATTGCGCATCACTCAAGTGGCAGGTGGGAATGTATTCCATAAGCAGTACAGAGTTAAGGTTCACTTTTTTGACATCAGCGCTTTAATGTAGCTCAACTCCGATCTTGACTTGATACTTTACTCGTGTGACCCGGCGACGATTTGCCGTGGATATGGACTCAATAACAAGTGTGATGGAGTTGACAACAACACTTATTATGGATGCTGTTGTGACACGGATGCGTGCATTGATCCAACGAGGATGCCACCAGTGAGCCCTGATATAATCTGTGAGCAGGGGAGATTCCAAAAGACTCTAGGAATGTAAGCCGAATAAGTCTACAACAGATCCAGACTAAGCAGCGGTAGTTTGGGATCTGGTTGAGTTACATTGGAATCACTTTGCCTATTACTTTATAGTCCAGTCCTAAACTTGTCTCAGAGCGGAATCGAGCGGTAGAAAACGCTGAAACAATTCTAAACAACCCGGCGAGTGACTGGATCGAGTGCTACATCGGGGTGAACATCAAAAATACAACAACAAACGCCGTTTTCAGCGCTGGAACCCAGAATTATTGCAATGGGATGTGCGCATCGGGGTCCACGATGCTCAACGGATATGCAGCAAGGGGGAACTTTTTGCATTGAGCCTCAAATGGAGCTGAAATCTTACGAAAAGTTTGCAAATTCTAGGTAAAAGGCTTCTACTGTGCCCAACGATCTTTCTGCCAAGCTCTCGATACGGTCAGCCGATGTGACACCACCTCAGTTGGGGATCAAATTCTGCTCCGAGCTGCTGCTGTGACGATTCAGCGAATTGTCAGCATAAGGAACAGGGATATTCCAACGGTAGGTTGCACACCTTACATAAGATAAACCTACTACAAGACTATTCTCTGGCATAGGTATACCAAATCTGACAAGTTGCTAATTGGAAGATCCGAAGTCAATCCTCTTCAGGTCGCACCTGATGCTACTATCCAACCCACCCAAATGATCAGCCTGTTTCCAAGGCTTATACATCAACAATCAATCGATGAGCGGCGGATTTGTAGCCTGTGATGGAGGTTACGCGTCAATCACTTTACCCACGACCGTTGGTAAGGGGTATCTTGTTATTAGAGTCATCTCAGGAAAGTTTAGAGATGATTGCTCTGTCATTAAGTACTCTGCCAAATAGCCAAACCAAGCCCAAACCAGAATTTAAGGTGGCGAGCGTCACGATGTCACCTTGTTCACCTACGATCCCGCCGACCTCTGTCGACAACTCCGGACTCATCAACAAGTAGGCTAAAAATTTCATGGAGCTTGTCAGACCTGATTTTACAATAATGTTGGCTTTTTAGTATCTCGAAAAGGTACCTAAGCTAGTTGAGCTTTGTTAACAATTGCCAGTTCAGTTGCCAAAACGGTGATGGGAGTGATCTCTGGGTGTTGCTGTGACAGTGATGTTTGCATTAACCCGTACAATAGCCGATACCCTAATGGAAACAATTCATTGAGCTGTTTCGTCGGTGAGTGAATCGGTTTAAAAGTTTTATATCTAAAGGATTTAGGAGTCACTGTTGGAACCGATTACATGGTAGGTGGATCGATGCCATGTGATGGAGAGTGCGGATCTCTGGAGACGACCGTCAATGGAATGCATGCCGCTGGTGGGTTTGGGAAAAATGGCTGCTATCAATGTCCTTGTAACTCCGTAACTCAAAGCTAGCTCTAATTAAAGCCAAAGCTTGACTCTCGTTACGAGGTTCCAACTTACAGGCTACTTCTGCGCCTCGCGTTCCTTGTGCAAAACCCTCGGCGTACACAACGATTGTGCTTCGGTGCTTTCATCTCTCTATGTGAAAGGATATTGCTGTGATTAGGACAACAACTGCAATGCCATCGCCGACAATGTCACCGTTCCGACATACGTGCCCCAGAATCGGCCACCACTTGCTTGCTACAAGTAAGAGAATTTGATGTTAAACTGTGACTTTCAATTTTCAGCGGCCTCTCATTGAACAATCAACTCTTGCAAGATGGAAATCAATATATGGCTTGCCGTGGTGACTACGGATCGATCACATTTAGCGCAACGGTAGCGGGCTAATGATTACAATGCTACGATGTTCACTTGTGAGTCAGTCAATGTGAGTGATTAAAGAAATTTTGGGAAAAAAAAAGAATTGTAGATTTGCGGTGCTTTCAACCCAGAAGATTCGTGTGGCTCGATTCGACAAGGGAGATAAAGGAGGCGTTAGCGGGTGTTGTTGCTCGTGGAATGATTGTATTGATATAAACAACCCGGTTAGCAATTACATAAAAATAGCTAATCATGGGAAGTCTAATTTCACAACATGATCAATGGCTTGTTAAGAGGAGTTCCAAAATGTACCTCGGTGTCAGTAAATTCAAGAGGCCATTTTGGGATTGAAGCCTTCGAGGGACAACTTGCAATGCTATGTTGGATTCACCCTCTGAGGACACCAACAACAACAATAAGTCGACGACTTGCGGAGATTCGATGCCGTGCGATGGAAACTGATTGCCGGCATTCAGACCATGTAGGATGGATTCAAGCGGATCTCTTTTATCACCTTCTTTAGCTTCAATGGTGTTATGGGTTGGAGTTACTTCTGCAAATTGACGAAACTATGAGCAGGACCGAATATAACGGACGACTTCTCCACGATTTTCTTCGATTCTGGAGTGAGTGACAATTTTTCCATAAAGGCAATAATTGTGATGATACTAATGATAAGCAGTGCTTTGGTCATCGATCATCGGGTGCTGCTACGGTGACGACAACAATTACGACATCAACGATGCCCAGGTAAGGATTAAGTTCTGGCTTTTAAGGGCTTGGGGTACATGACATGTCTGCCGTAACCCGTAGTCCAAGAACTAAATGTTACCGTATTCCTAAGCGTAAACCCAACTATAGAGATAAATCCTAGGTCCGGTACACCGGTGCGGCCAGCCGCAGGTGCTCCCGACGATCGCTCACCAATCGCCTGCTACTCGGGTCTCGGCATCAACAACATTGTGCTCACCGACGCAAACAGCGTTCACGACTTGTCAAGGCAATTGTGCATCGGTAAGTGAAAAAATTTCGGTGACCAGAATTCAAAATCACTTTAAGCTACTTTCTCAACGTCGCTTCAAGGCCAAAGTCTTCCATCACGACAATTTACTCGTGTGATCCGGTGTCTCTCCTGCGCAACGCTTGGCACGAACTGGCAAATGCAGCACGGTTAGTTCAATGTAAAACAAAGGCGACTTTCGTTTTAAGATTCAAAACGACAGTACTTCGACGACTTCTCTCTGGCTGCTGCTGTGATTGGGACGACTGCATTGTCACACTCAACAACGGACAAGTTGGGTTTAGATGTTGAGAAGCAAATTAACCAACCCAGCTACTGATTATGCCTGTCATTCAAAATAAACTCGACAAGTTTTGAGCAAATTTGAGATCAAGAGTTCCCCAACAATAGCACGCACTAAGCCAGACGATTTGACATGTCTTGTCGGTAAGTGAAGCTAGTTTTGGATTTGATAATTAATGGGCAATTCAGACAAGAAAGCTCCAGTCAGATTTATAAAGCTGATCGATTTCAGGTTATTCGATTTCACAATTCGTGGGAGCCGCGATGCCCTGCTTTGGCTCTTGTGTCTCCGTTCAAACCACCGCCAACGGTGCCGATCTTTTCGGTAAGTATTGAGCCTTAAACCTCTATAAACTTGTTGCTAAACATGATTTTTGTTTTGCTTTTAGGCTACTTCTGCGCCGCCTGACTACCTCTGCGATACGCTTCCGAAAATGCACGATCAATGCGTCGCCCTGCTAACAACTCCATTCGTTGAGGATGCTGTTGCGATGATTCGAGCAACTGTAACAGCAAGAACAACTACCCGATTCAACCGTACGTGCCACCGGCTCGAACACCGATCGCTTGCTACAGGTGAGTGCAGAAAAACACTCACCAAAAGCACCGCTTTACTTTAGTGGGATTGCTGTCAACGGAAAATTGCTCTCGGATCGAAACTCGTTCCATCACTTGTCGTGGCCAGGTGCGGCTCAATTACGCTCACTACACAGTTGCAAGGAAACGCCGTCAACGCGACACTCTTCGCGTGCGATCCAGTGACGGTAAGAGTTTTACCCCTGATCTTTTCCATTCACGTAAATTCTTGAATTGCTTTATTTTACTCAAATTTTGTTAGATCTGCGATTCGTTCAACGTCAACAACGGTTGCCGGCGGCACATGAACGGACTCGTCAATGGATGTTGCCTGTAGATGGAACGACTGTATTGACATTGACAAAAACGTTCGTTTTGATTCGAACTTCCAGTTTAAAAAAAGTTTAGCAAGTTGAAACTATCAAGAGGCGATATGCAATGCTTCGTCGGTTTCGCTTTGGAGGGATCGAAAAATGGAACTTATGGGTCGACTGGAAGCTGTGATGGACAATGCGCATCCGTTCAAACCACGTGAGGTTTTAGCATTTTGCAAATTTTCAGATTATCACCGAATCAGACTTACTAAACTCATTCTAGTGTCAACAGCGTGAACACATGGTTCTTTTTCTGTGCCACGAATCGCGTGTGCGACGGGTTGAACATGACAAATGATTGCGATACCCTATTCAACAGCAACGGTAGATTCATTAAGGCTTGCTGCTGCAGTGACTCGAACAATTGCAACATCAGCAATGCCCATGTGGTGGAGATTGGATTCGAAAAACTATACGATTTTAGGTTGAAACCAAGCCCCAACTCTTGCCCCAGCTCCCACAACGCTATCGCCCATTGCTTGTTATGTTGGTGTCAACCTCATGGGCAAACTCGTCACCGCACCGGATAGTTATCCAGACTTGCTTCGGCGAGTGCGCGTCGGTGAGTTGCTGTTGGAAAAAGCAGTTAAATGGACAAGTTGTGGTGCTTACCGATTAGTCAGTTCTATTTGCAATTGTTGTACTTGTTGCATCTAATTGACAAGTGTACCATTAATTTCATAAATGAGAGATCTCTTAAGTGAAATAGAGTTTCTCTTGAGTTCACCTACGCATCAACATTCAACGACCAGACCGTTAGAGCCACCATTTTCTCCTGTGATCCCGTTGCACTCTGCTCTCAATTCGGACTCGATGGCACCTGTGCTACGGTAGGGCAAATTCAAGAATGTTGTATCTTCAAAAAAACTTTCTCAATCTTAAAACTTCAGATCAAGCCGATAGCTCGTCGACGGTGATCTCTGGCTGTTGCTGTGGATCTGATGACTGTCTTGACACTTCAACTGGAGTAAAAATATTTTGTCTTCTATTTATCTACGTTTAAATTCAGTTGATTAAGCCGCAAGTGAGCACTTCAAAGCAATGTTTTGTCGGCTTGTCGGTGACCGGACCTGCGTACAATGGAACCTACGGAGAACCCGGCCGATGCGATGGACAATGTGGATCCATTGAGACCAGGTTATCATCATAGGAAGCTTTCAATCCCAAAAATCTTTTAGCGTTAACGGCCACAACACCTACGGCTTCATCTGTGCGTCGAACAGCCTGTGTAACAGTCTCAACTTGCACAATCAGTAGCGAAGATCTATGGGGATTCAACGCCAATCACTGGGTGCTGTTGCAGCGATGTTGACAACTGCAACTTCAACAATCAACCAGTAAGTGGTAGAACTGTTTCAGGGCACTATCATTAAACAGCTTTAGACAGACATAATGGAAAATTGCAACTAGAGTGTTGAAAATATTGCTCTTAACTATGGGCTTTCAGGTTCCACCCGCTCAACCAGGTCCCCACCCAGCTCCAGGCACAAGCCCTATCGCTTGCTACTCCGGAGTGTCAATCAGTGCCAATGGAAGTCCAGCAAAGCTCTTGACGCCCAGCGACAGCTACATGACTTGCGTCGGCAGCTGTGCATCAGTGAGTGATTTTTTTCGTACTTAATCACGTTTTCATCCAGGTTTCCTATTCGACCTCTTTCATGAACACCTCCTACACAACAACCGTCTTCTCTTGTGATCCAGTCGCAATCTGTGCCATCTTTGGACAGGCTGGTGACGGATGTGGAACAGTTAGAAAACGCATTGTCGATTTTTCATGAACAACTTTAGCTTATTCCTGACGACTCTACAACGATCGGTGGCTGTTGCTGCAGCTGGGATGATTGTATCGACACGTCGAATGGAGTGAGTGTTAGCTTTAATTGCCATCATCGAAAAGTTTTAGTTGATCAAGCCAGTGCCAAAACTCGCGAGTCAATGCTTTGTCGGCTTGGCGGCGACCGGACCATCGTACAATGGAAGTTGCGGAGAGCTTGGAAAATGTGATGGACAATGCGGAACGATTATCACCTCGTGGGTCTTGGCGGTTAGATTCTATAGTTCAACGTTAACCAGATCCAAATCAGATAGCTTCCATAATTGGCTCTAATTTAGTGTTAATGGCCACAACACATACGGCTTCTTCTGCGCGTCAAACAATCTGTGCAACGCGTTGAGTCTCCACAATGGCTGCTTAAGCATCAACAACGACGCCAATCAGCCAATCGCTGGCTGTTGCTGCAATGATGTCGATGGGTGTAACTTCAATAATCAACCAGTGGGTGATATAGGAATAAACATTCACAAATTGATGCTTAGGTTCCCCCGGCACCAACAGGACTCCCAACTCAGTCACCCAACACTGTCCCCATCGCTTGCTACTCTGGTTTATCGCTGAGCGCAAACGGAAACACGCCAAAATTGTTGACACCAAGTGACAGTTATCAATCGTGCTTCGGAAGCTGTGCTGCTGTGAGTTTTGATTACTTGATGGCATTATCTTTGAAGCTCGGTGCATGTTTACTTACCGTAAATACTCTAATAGAAGCCCCTATAGGAGCGTCGTATAGTCTAAGTTTACTCGCCAACAAACGCTCATATCTCGACACCAGTAAGTTTGTTTCTGCGTGCTTCGGTATCATATTAAAGTAGAGAGGATGGGTGATTTTTTAAGATATAGCACATATTTTTAACTTTGACCAGTGCTTAGAAAAATGCTTGAAAAGTGGAAAAAATGCGGAGTTTTCAATCATTTTGTGCAAGGCGCTGGTTAATGCTAAAAAAATATGTGTTATATCTCAAAAAATCCCCCTATCTTTCCACTTTATTTCCTTACCTAAGCGCGCAGAAACAAATGTCTGAGCGCCGAGACATGAGCGTTTGTTTGAGTGTAAGCTTAGGCTACACGATTCTCCTATCGGAGAAGGGGCTTCTATTGGAGGTATTTATGGTAGTACTCAATATCCTGTGCCTTTTACCAAGTATTGCAGAGTTAAGCTGTTATTTGTGCAGTACACAAACAAAGATCTTTCTGGGTCTCCTACACCACCTCGCTCATGAACAACTCTGTCACCGCCACCGTTTTCTCGTGTGATCCAGTGGCGATTTGTTCCGTCTTCGGACAAGTCGGCGACGGATGTGGAAAAGTTTAAGGAACTTCTAGGTAATTTTCTAAAACCCTATTCAGCTGTACCCAGACAACTCTACAACGATCGGTGGCTGTTGCTGCAGTTGGGATGATTGCATTGACAAGACGAATGGAGTGAGATAGAAAATGGAGAATGTAAAGAAAACAAGCCTTTATAGATGATCAAGCCACCCCCGACGCCACAAGGGAACAATCAATGCTTTGTCGGCTTCTCATTGGCAGGACCAGTCAGCAATGTCACCTATGGACAATCGGTCACCGGATGCGATGGACAATGTGGAACGATGTCATCCTCGTAAGTCCAACCTCTGCGTTAAAATTTTGGAGAGTACCGTGTCTAACAACAATAAGGTGCGTTGCAAAAAAGTTAGGACCACCCCTAAATTTTACAATTTTTGGCTACAAAATTTAATAACGCGAAATAGCTTTTAAATCCTAGAAATATATACAAAAATAGGTATCTATACCATTTTTAACATTATCTGAACAAATTGCAACAAAATTATAACATTTTAACACACACCTGTTGCGAAATGATAGGACCACATAAAAAAACAATAAATTTGAGAATAAACAAAAGAAAAACGAACGAAAAGTTCATTAATAATCAATAGATGCTCCCTTTTTCTCGATGACGTCGAGTAGTCGACTTTTCATCGTGTTCACTAAGTTTTGAAGCGTTTGTGGTGGAATTGATGTCCAAGCTTGCAAAATTGCTTTTTTGGTTGCGAAATCGTGTCGTAAGTCCTTCCATTAGCATAAATATTCCTCACAAGGATGCCCCATAAGTTTTCCATTGGGTTTAAGTCCGGTGAGCAGGCAGGCCATTCGAGAAAATCGATGTTGTGATGTTCCAGAAAAGCTTTAGTGGAATGGCTGACATGAATTGAAGCATTATCCTGTTGAAAAATATAGTGTTTCCCTCGACTTTGTGCTAGGAAAGGAAGTAGTTGATCCGCAAGGACATCCTGGTAATCGTTCGAGTTCATGCGACAAGTCACAAATTCTAAATCAAGAACGTCATCCACATTGAAAGCGCCCCATATCATCAGTGATCCTCCTCCGAAGTTTTGACGCCCACAAAGCATTGTATCTTTTCTCAAATCGTGCCAATAGTACTTGTTGCCGTCGGGACGATCCAAATTAAATTTTTTCTCATCGCTGAAGATGGCCTACAAAGAAAAAAATAGTTAACAACTCAAGGCAAAAGTTTACTTTTTCCAATCGATGGTGATGTGATCCCGGCCCAAGACATCCTTTTTTCTTTGTGTGCCGGCTTCAGTTTTGGTGCTTTCTTCATGATTGCTCTTTTGATGTAACGGATGTAACACTTGATGGCTCGAGAAAGAGTGCTTTTGTGGACGGGAGCTCCAATTTATACCTTGACGTCCTGTAGCGACATCACCGAATTCGACAACAGACGTATGCCGTTCAGCGCAGATCGTGAGCTTTCGATGACGTCCCGGAGACTTTTTCTTGCCATACTTGAAAGGATCCTTCAAGAAATTTGAGACAACTTGGTGCGAGCGCTTTAGTTTTTTTTTGCGATCTTCCGATTCGACAACTTTCTTACTTTCAAAATCAAAATTTTCATCTGTTCGATCCACGCTCCATCTGCCTAAAAAATTAGCAAAAAGTAAGCAAAAAACATGATTATTACAGGTAGAAAATCAAAAAAGAAACCTAGTGGTCCTATCATTTTGCGACAGGGGTAAAATAACGAAATGCTTAAAAAATTTTGCCTTTTAAATAAATTATTTGGTAAACGGTATTTGTACGTACTTTTGTATATAAAATTCGAATTTAAGCATCATTTTGCATTTTTAGTTATTTAAAATTTAAAATCGCAAAAATCGAGGGTGGTCCTATCATTTTGCAACGCACTGTATGTCTAAGTGAAGTATAAATTTGGATAGGGAACACAATACCTTCGCAGCAATTCAACAAAATTTCTAGGGTCAATGGCCACAACGCGTACGCGTTCTTCTGTGCGTCGAACACTCTCTGTGGGACTTTGTCACTTGTCAACACTTGCCGTAACATCAAGAACGACGCGAATCAGCCGATCACCGGATGCTGTTGTAACAATGGCGACAACTGCAACATCAATAATCAACAGGTAAGAGAGTAAACACAAACTAGCTAGTAAACTTGTTTTATAGTCATAAAACTATTCTTAGGTTCTACCCGGCCCAACTGGTGTCCCAACAACCGCTCCAGGAACTACTCCAATTGCTTGCTTCTCCGGAATGTCGCTCGGCGTTGGAAACACATCCGCGCTCGTCACTCCCGATAACAGCTATCAAGCTTGCTTCGGAAGCTGCTCGTCTGTAAGTATAAATCGTTGATCATCAATTAAGATCGATAGTCTAGAAAAGAATCGTAAGTACCACAAGATTTAGCTCTCATTGACGACGGTCTTCTCAAACTATTCTGTCTCCGCTACCGTCTTCTCTTGTGATCCGGTGTCAGTTTGCAACGTTTTCCAGGACAATGGAAAGAGCTGTGGCACGGTTTGTGAAAAGTTTCAAAACTATCAAAACGAGCTTTCAGTTCGACGCCGATAACGTGACCTCAGTTGCTGGGTGTTGCTGCAGTTGGGATGATTGCATTGACAAGACGAATGGAGTGAGATAGAAAATGGAGAATGTAAAGAAAACAAGCCTTTATAGATGATCAAGCCACCCCCGACGCCACAAGGGAACAATCAATGCTTTGTCGGCTTCTCATTGGTAGGACCAGTCAGCAATGTCACCTATGGACAATCGGTCACCGGATGCGATGGACAATGTGGAACGATGTCATCCTCGTAAGTCCAACCTCTGCGTTAAAATTTTGGAGAGCACCGTGTCTAACAACAATATACCTAACTGAAGTATAAATTTGGATAGGGAACACAATACCTTCGCAGCAATTCAACAAAATTTCTAGGGTCAATGGCCACAACGCGTACGCGTTCTTCTGTGCGTCGAACACTCTCTGTGGGTCTTTGTCACTTGTCAACACTTGCCGTAACATCAAGAACGACGCGAATCAGCCGATCACCGGATGCTGTTGTAACAGTGGCGACAACTGCAACATCAAGAATCAACAGGTAAGAGAGTAAACACAAACTAGCTGGTAAACTTGTTTTATAATCATAAAACTATTCTTAGGTTCTACCCGGCCCAACTGGTGTCCCAACAACTGCTCCAGGAACTCCTCCAATTGCTTGCTTCTCCGGAATGTCGCTCGGCATTGGAAACACATCCGCGCTCGTCACTCCCGATAACAGCTATCAAGCTTGCTTCGGAAGCTGCTCGTCTGTAAGTATAAATCGTTGATCATCAATTAAGATCGATAGTCTGGAAAAGAATCGTAAGTACCACAAAAATTAGCTCTCATTGATGACGGTCTTCTCAAACTATTCTGTCTCCGCTACCGTCTTCTCTTGTGATCCGGTGTCAGTTTGCAACGTTTTCCAGGACAATGGAAAGAGCTGTGGAACGGTTTGTGAAAAGTTTCAAAACTACCAAAACGAGCTTCAGTTCGACGCCGATAACGTGACCTCAGTTGCTGGGTGTTGCTGCGGATGGAATGATTGCATTGACAAGACAAATGGACAGGTGCGGTTGGGGTGGTGAAGAAAATGTTTAAGTATAAAAGATTTAAAATTTGTATAGGCTACTAGATTTGCTCAGTCGTTTTTGAAATGTAATTTATGTTTAGAATAAAGCCAACTTTAAACTTTTTTCTAAACCAACCTCTTTTCTCATTTCAGATCCGAACGACCACAGCTCCACCCGAGTCGGCAACCAAATCCTCCTCGTACCCATCATTCCTCATTGTTCTCGCTCTTTCACTCACTAAAATTCTCCTTGCTTAGGCGTTGCTGGTGATTGTTTTTCTCAATGTTGTTCTCACTGTAAATAATTTACAGAATAAAGTTCTATGATAAGTTAAAAGCACAAGAAATGAGTAGAGCTTAGATTGCTTAGACTCTTATACAGATAAACAAGGGTGTCTTTAAATGGTAAAACCATGCAAATTTTTAAAAGTTTTAATTGTTGGTCAAAGGGGGAAAATGAATTTTGTGTTCTGGGTAAAGGCTATCGTTTTTGGCCACAAATCGTGGTTTTACAGAAATTCCTAGGGGAGTTGAGGAAAAGCCTCGCAAAACACTCATGAACTTGGCAAACACCATACTTTTTGCCTATCCAAGAATATAGTTTAGAAATATCAAATAAAGTGAGTAGGTCCGGAATACAATGAAAACGGTTGTTAATTTCAAGCACGTTTTTCTTTCAATGACCTGTTACGGCAGAATCGAGTCAATGCTAACCAAGAAGACTTTCTTCGCAAATTCTCAATCTTTAGTAGGTAATAAATTAAATGTAATAAAGATCTATCGATCTATTGATCATAAGTAACAAAATCCAACAACTCTTTGTTCAAGGAAGTTCTGCCCGGCAAACCACAGAGTGCAAAATGTGAGTAATAAAGCAAAGACTGTGAATGACTTGCAGAAAGGGCAAAAAGAAAAGAGTCTTTCTTTTTTTGACGGCTACTGAAAACCCCGTTAATCCGCTCAATCTCTTCCAATCTCTCTTCCTTTTTTGCACTTCTTTTCTCTCTCAAAAAGGGACACATGTTGATAAACGTATTAACTCGGCTCCAAATAAAAAGCCCAAATTGATAGGGGAAGGAATGATTTCTTTGAGCTGATCCGGATAACCACTCCCGATCAGCTCCGTAAGTGCGGATTACGGTGGCTTTTTGAAGATTTTGAAGTTTTACGAGAAACTTAAAGCTTTATTGTCACCTTTTGAACTGATCTTGCTTGTATTTTAAGTTGAAAATTTATTTACTTTAAAGCTGCTCAATCCAAGCTTTTGTCCGATCGAACTAGAATCTAGCTCTAGAATTGTTCGACTTTAGACTCTTACCCTTGATTTGTTCTTCATTCTCTTATTTACAACTTTTTAAGAATGGGTCATTTCACCGTATTGCTTGGGCTAGTTCTGCTGGCCTCGACGGGTCAAGCTTTTACGGTGTCTTCAAGGAACGGTGCACGTTGATGATTTGGATCGAGTGACATCGAGTCAAGTCGAAGAGGTTAGTTCAAGGAGTTTTTTTGCAGAAATGCTCACTTTTTATTTGCATACTACTTCTATTCAATCTTTTTACATATCTTAAGCCTTTCCCTTTACTACTTTTGAAACTAGACTCTTCTTCGAAGTGCAGTTTCTTTTGAAACGCATTCTTTCAGATGCACTCATTGTTTTTGTGCTTTTGCAAAAATTTTGCCTCTGATAGCTTGAGCTATTGTTACTTTGACAAATTCTTGAATTAACAGGAAATGAATTGAGTGCGCCAGGTTGAGTACAAAGTATCAAAGTACACTTCTAAAAGCTAGCCTGCCTCTACCCGAATCTCGTTTAGCTTTTACTGCTTTATTCTCTAACATCCAACTAATCTGAAACTGCCAAATTATAAGCTCGAATTTAGGTTGATTGCGAAGGTGTCTGTGTGACAAACGTCGCCGATGTACCCTAAAAAACGGTCAACTGCACATGCTCTCATGTCAACAAGCGGTTTCAAAAAACTTTCCCTTCTACTCAAAGTCTTACATTTCAGTATCGCAAAAGAAAATGCATCTCGGTGATCGCGTCTGCAAAGAGGATTTCTGTAACGCTGTGCAGGGAACAGAATTGGGTGGGGCGGCTTTATCTTTTATGCGAAAGAGATATCAGCACTGAATCTTGCTGGGATTTTCTTTCAACCGAGTCAATTAAAAGCAAACTACTCTGAGACTACAAAATCTCAGAAGTGAAACGTTTCAAAAAAATTCGAATGACGCTCGCAAAGTAAAAGCGGGTACGCGAGGAATTGTTGCACTTTTTGAACACCTATCAGCATCAGTTCAAAGTCAATTCAAAACCTGATTCCAACAAAGCAACAGCTATGACATATTGATAAACTTGTTCATAAAGTGCCAGTTTTGTAAAGTTTCAAAACACAATCTAACAATACAGACTGTAGACGTCTTGAAAGATTTGATTGATTGACAAAGGTCTGACTTGCTGACAGTGCTGGCTGACTTGTTCAACATTTTCTAGAAAGCATTTTTAGGAGCCTCAATCCTCGCCGCCTCACCATCACCCAACATTGTGGGTCCCGGTGAATGCTATGTCGGATTGAAACACGGCGATTACTCGGTTGGAGGCACTGAGCTCTGTGACGGAGACTGCGGCACTTTCTCAACGCTCGCCAACGGGAAAATCAGTTATCTTTTCTTCTGCGCTCCACGACCATTGTGCCAGGGATTCTTGAAATCGGTATGAGAATGAAAATTGAAGATTGTGTAAAGAAAAAAGCGTCTAGGATGATGGGACAATTGTTCTCGACGGGAATGTGAACGGCTCTTGCTGCAGTACGGGACCGAATTGCAATGCGGATGGGGTAGATTTTTGATCGAAAAAGAAGTGACAATTCTACAAGCGTGTCTGAAGACTTTTTTGGGTCACTTGAAAACATCAACTTCTTTACAAAACTTGATTCCTTTCTTTAGCTCGTTTCCCCAATGCCACCACTTTCCACCGATTTTCGACCACCAATCGCTTGCTTTTCCGGAATCACATTCCAAAATAAATTCCTTACTCCGGGTGGTTATGTTGCGTGCCAAGGCGATTGCTCATCGCTCCAATACAAGGCGAGTCTCAATACAATCCAATACCGCGAGATTTAAACAGCCAATGTCTAGAATCTGCTTACTCTAGATTCATTCGAAGTCTTGCACAATCGATTGAGCAATAAAGCCCTAAACGTTGAATCATCTGAACTTATCACCGAAACTTTTCAGCTTCAATCAAACTTCACATTCACCATCTATGGCTGTGACCCGGGCAGTGTTTGCAAGGGATTCGGTTTGCAGAACAAATGCGCGAACATTGACGACGGAACCTTCTACGGTTGCTGCTGTGACACGGATGATTGCATTGATCCAACCCTCATGCCACCAGTTTCACCTGGTAGGTTTTCAGATTTTAGAGAACGGCAATCCATATAACTGCAGTAATTTTTTAGACAACCCGGTGCCTGAGTGGATTGAATGCTACGCGGGAGTGCATATGAAGTATACCGATCACAATTTCGATGCCGGTGGTGAGGCGATTTGTCACGGATACTGCGGAAGCGCCGTCACTAAGCTCAACTCGACGCTGGTTTGTTTTAAAGGCTGGTCATGAACTCTAACGGGGGTGGCTACCTTGCGTCAAATTTTTTGTGCAACTCGCCATAACTTTCTTCTAAGTGGGTCAATCTTTATGATTTGTGGTGTTATTTTATAGATCTCAACAGGTGCAACAAAATGACACCACAAATCATAAAGATTGGCCCACTTAGAAGAAAGTTATGGCAAGCTGCGCAAGAAAATTTGCGCTAAGTAGCCACCCCACTCTAACCTTATCCGAAACCATTTGATAGTAAGTTCCCTGCTGAATAGATTTACAAATATTCCCTTTAAAAAAACAAAGATGACATTCTCCGAGCACCAGTCCTATTTTCAAACATTTTCCTGTTAATAGGTGACAGCTTTCTTCTGCGCTGATGAGAGTCTCTGCAATCAACTCGAGGCACACGGTACTTGCGATCAAGTGACCATCGGTGACCAAGAGTTGCTCGTTTGTTGCTGTAATGATGAAGCCAATTGTAACATCAAGGGAAGAGGCATTCCGACGGTGAGCTTGCCGAGTAATTCTTAACATTTCAAATTTTTAGCCAGCTTCTCCAACAGTGATTGTTCCGCAGATGATTGCTTGCTATCAAGGACTTTGGGTGAACAATCAATCGATGAGTGATGGCGATTTCACCGCTTGCGCTGGCGATTGTGCTTCGATCACCCTGCCGACCACAATGAGTGAGTTGATTTGGTTTAAAGTTTGGGATTATCATGTCAAGTTCATACACGGTGGCCCATAATTTGTGTTATGAAGGCAGATTAAGTCGAAAATGTGTCAGATTACTTAAAGTTTGTTATAATTTCATTTTTATAACATTTTTACACTTATATTCCAATTTTTAGCCCGGTGGGTCGGCTATAAGAAACATTAGGGCCATTAGAAGCTCCGTAAATAAAAGCGTCTGGCACAATGTATATTATGAAATCGTGCTTAAAATACTCCACATCACAAAAACTCTCCCACAAATTATGTTTTTTTTGGTTTTTCTATGTTAAGGTCATAAACAAAATTTTGTTTGAACTATAATAGAATCAAATTTTAATTGCTTTAATTGTCGCCATGTTGAAAACGAGATGAAATAAGCTTATTTTGGGTGCTTCAGAGGATTCTAAAACTAACATTAGGTCAAAAGCTTAAAGCAAAAAGTAATATTTTTATTAACCTTTTTAAAGCACCAATAACTAATTAAGATCACTGAAAAGTTCAGTGCTTTCATTTTAATCACCAGCTTTTATGGACAAAAGCATCTCCGTGTCAGACGCTTTTATTTACGGAGCTTCTAATGGCCCTAATGTTTCTTATAGCCGACCCACCGGGCTAAAAAATTGGAATATAAGTGTAAAAATGTTATAAAAATGAAATTATATCAAAATTTAAGTAATCTGACACATTTACGCCTTAATCTGCCTTCGTAACACATATTATCAGCCACCCTATACTAAACAAAATATAAAAATTCAGCCAATGGATATTCTTTTAGATAATAAACCCTTCGAGGTGACCCTCTTCAGTTGTGATCCAGCCACCGTTTGCCGCGGACTTGGACTCATCAATAAGTAAGTTAGAAAGCTGAAACTTATCAGATTATTTTTTTAGTTGCGCCACGATCGACAACACGATTTCTGGGTGTTGCTGTGACACGGACGTGTGTATCAACCCAATGATCAACAAGTATCCCAACGGCAACTACTCCGATGATTTGAGCTGCTTCACTGGTGAGTGATTACATAAAATCCTAGCAAACTTTTCAAAAGTGAATTCATTTAGGACTTGTCGTCGGAAACCCTGGAACTGACAGCTATTCGGTGATCGGTGGAGCATTGCCGTGTCAAGGAGAGTGCGCCTATTTCAAGAGCAACTACACCGGAATGCCAGCCGCAGGTGAAGTGTAGCGAATTCACCATGTCCATTTGCCCATTCCAGGCTACTTCTGTGCTCCACGGTCTCTATGCCACCGCCTCGGAGTGCACAACGATTGCGCCTATCTCCCTGGCTCTAATGCCACCTCGGGATGTTGTTGTGATTGGGCGGATAATTGCAATGCGGTCATGGAGAATGTCACTGTGCCAACGAGTCCACCACCCAATCGGTCACCCTTGGCTTGCTACAGGTTGGTGGCTAGCGTTAAAGCGTATACTGATAGGGTTATTGAACTTGGATCAAGCAGATGAGCCTTGTTTGCAAATTCTGTCTGAGTTAATAGTATTATAGTATATGTTTATTTAAGATTCAAATGATCTATTAGACTGTCCAGAAAGTTTTTTTTCGTTCCTTTTCGTACTTCCGTTTAAAACCAACAAATGCACCAGTTGAACTATGGTTTGTTTCATTAGAAAGGCCAATTATTTTTTTGCAAAATAACATTAAAACCGATTTTAAATGTCTTATGTCTGGATTTTTGTCGGGTAGTCCGAGCGTGAAGTCGGATAGTCAAAAAGGGTGACGGCACGATGATGCTAAAACACTTTAGCTAAGGAAACCTATCTTAGTGTTAATAGATAAAAGATAGAGCACAAAAAGTTTGGTGTATAGCCAAATTTTCAGAGAAATTGATTCAGCCAATTCCTTCGTGGAGGTTTTTATAGATTTTTACGGAAATACACGTTTTCACTCTTGAATTGTTTGAAAGTGAACCAAAATTGACTTAAAAAAAATGGAAACAGAGCAAAAAACACTTTTTATTCAGAGAAAACCATAGGTTAATTGATGAATTTGCTATTTTTCGACGGAAGTACGAAAAGGAACGAAAAGACTTTCCGGACAGCCTAATAAGTCATGACTGAGTTTTTGAAAAGGTCAAACATCAGTATGCGCACCACTTGTACTTCTGAGCTTTGGGTTACTGTGCTCATGAAATAACCATAACTTAACTTAACTATTGTAAGCCAATGAGCATAACCACTGTCTATTCAGCGGTCTTTCCTACAACGGAACGATGCTCCAAGACGCCGATCGTTACATGACTTGCCGAGGTGATTGCGGATCTCTCACTTTCACCACCACCATCGGCGGCAAACCACACTCGCTCACCATGTACAGCTGCGATCCAACAAATGTTAGTAATCAAAAAATAACTTTTTTAAGTAATTTAGATGTGTGCTGCGTTCAAATTGAAAGACTCTTGCGCTCAAGTGGGCAAAGATGATGGCGGGAACTCGTTGAGCGGTTGTTGCTGCTCATGGAACGATTGCCTTGATCTTGGCACTGGAGTAAGAAGTGACTCAAATTTTTTAACGACAAAATTCAGCAAATCAAACCCACTCACGACAATTTGCAATGCTTTGTTGGAACGGCCGTCAATGGAGACAAGGGATCGATGCTCAAGGGGCAATCGGCGCCGTGCAGCGGAAAATGCGGATCCATTCAGACAACGTTAGTGGTTTCAAATTAGAATCACAATCATAAATCATAATTAAATCAGTTAAATCAGACGGAATAAATGCGCAAGAGTTATCACTCTTTAGAATCAACAAAGCCGAAACTTGGTCTTTCTTCTGTGCCTCGACGAAAGCCTGTTCTCTCGTTGAATCCGACACCTCGCATTGTGCCACTCTTTTCAATGACAATATGGTTTGATTGTTGAACTTGATGAGTTACTTGACAATTCTAGGAATACATTCGAGGATGCTGTTGTGATGATAGCAACAATTGCAACATCCACGGAACTGACGTAAGTCAGACTTCGTCAAAACCAGCCAAGGGGTTTAGGTTGATGTCACAATTGCTCCACCAACAAGCATTCCGGATAATCGATCACCGATTGCTTGCTACTCGGGAATAAGCATGAACGGAGGAGTGCTCACCGATGCTGACAGTTATTTGGCTTGTCATGGAGATTGTGCATCAGTGAGTGAAATTTTAATTCAAGAACTGTAGAACAAACAAGTTTACTCAAGTTTATAAAGTTTTAGTTTCAATTTTGCAACCACAAAGCCACCCTTTTCAGGTCTCCTACCACTCGACATTCAACGGAAAGAGTGTTGTCACCACAATCTATTCTTGTGATCCAGCCGCCTATTGCAGAGATCTCGGAATGAGTAACAGTTGCGCAAACGTAAAAATTCTTTTGAAAATCTACGCTCAATGTTTTCTAGATTGACAGCACGGACTCGACAACAACGATCTATGGATGTTGCTGTGATTGGGATGACTGTATTGACACGAACAACAATGGAATGGTTGATAGGATTAGGTTTTGAAGAGCTAGATCTTCTTTAGATCAAGCCACATGACAACAACAACACCCGACCGGACAACCTCGAATGTGTCGTCGGTTCGTGAAAAGAAAAACGAAGGGAAAATATTTGCTCAGAAAACTGGGCAGCACAAAATTTGTAAAATCCTGAATAGGAGCTTTCCAATGACCATTTCCAATTTTCAGGATATTCAATCGATTTCGGCGGTGATCAGGGTGATCAATTCTACGGCTCGGCGATGCCCTGTGATGGAAGCTGCGCCTCGGTGGAGATCACCGTTGCCGGCATGTACATGACAGGTTTCAATTCATGAATCAATCGTTCATTTTTCAAGTTTAGGCTACTTGTGTGCACCCAACAACTTGTGCACCTCACTTGACGTAAAGAATAGTTGTGCGGGACTTGCCGGTCAGCACAATATTCTCGGCTGTTGTTGTGATAATGCCATCAACTGCAATAATAGACACAATCTCACCGTTCCGCCGTACACTCCGCCGACGAAATCCCCGATTGCCTGCTACAGGTTCGTTTTCTGTTTTCTGGTACTGTAGCATAAAGCTATTAGCTGGCTACCATTTATGAATATAAAAATACTGTAAAGTCCATGTAAACTGCTATTAAGACTGAATATCTTTAGCTAAAGACCCTTACAGTATCTCGAAAAATTATTGCATATGTATGCAAGGAACTAGACTTTCAATATTTTCAAACAAGGCCTAACTCATCAATTCAGCGGTCTTGCCGTCAACGGCCAGCTCCTCACCGACGCCAACCAATACATGGCCTGTCAAGGTGATTGCGGACTGTTCAACTTCCACACCAAAACGGGAGATTTTGACATCAACGTCACAATGTTCTCGTGCGATGGCGTATCGGTAAGTGACCATCAAAATTAGTACATTCTATCACTTTCAGGTTTGTGATTCACTCGGATTGAAAGACTCGTGCAGCTCGCTCGGCACGGTTATCGATGGTTGTTGCTGTGGATTCAATGACTGCCTCGACATCAGCAAAAGAGTAGGAACCTCGAGAATCTTCTTAAGTCGAAGAAGTTCAGCAAGTCAAACCAAACCATGACACGTTGAAATGTTTTGTTGGTTTGGGAACGAGTGGTCTGCTCTCTTCCACCTATGGAGACTCGGAGTCGTGCAGTGGGCAGTGCTCATCGGTGCAAACGAGGTACGAAAAAATTGGCTCCATTCAAATTCTTTCAACAATTCGACAACAAAACAAATTTCTGTTCTATAAGAAATAAAAAAAAACAGCTATAATACTTTACAATGTTTAGTGTGAAAGGGCAAAACACGTGGGGTTTCTTCTGCGCCCCCGACGCACTCTGCGATGCACTCAACAAGACAAACGGTTGCCAGAGCGTTCACGATCAAAACGGAAAATTCGTGCGCACCTGTTGCTGCAGTGATGCCAACAATTGCAATCTGAATAACAGTAATGTGAGTGAACAGTGAAGTATCGTACAATGAATTTCAATACCATTAAGCTAGCAGTATTGGTAAGTACTGTTACAAGACACAGTTACTTGACTGAAACAACAAAAACTATAAGAATTGGTCGATTTGTGGGCAATTCTTGAGAGTTGAGAACTATTGAAAACGACGATTCTGCCGAGAGGTTGGCACCTCTGAACTTCGAAGCACTATAAAAAATATACGATTGTGTTTTTGAACTAAAAATTGAAATTGACCGCAGGAATGAACTTGAAATTTCATATAAATATAAACTTAGGGGAATCGGATGATTTGGTATCGAGTTACGGTCGAAAAACCGAGTTTCCTTTGAATATTCAGGCTCCACCCGCACCCACAGCTCTTCCACCAGCACCAGCCAGCACACCGATCGCCTGCTATAGCGGAATCTCACTGAATGGACAACAACTTGGACCGGACGATGCCTATTCGGCTTGCTTCGGGGAATGCACATCGGTTTGTGAATCTCAAAATATAATGACAGAATTCATTTCAGCTCAGCTACTGGACAAGACTGTTCGACAACGACTACGTGGCCACCATTTTCACGTGTGATCCGATTCAACTCTGTAATCACTACGCGATCAGCGGGGATTGTGCAACGGTAACTGTCAACAGCTCTGTTCATTCGTGCCGGATTTTAGATCCTCGGCGGTGACTCAACAATCAGTGGATGTTGCTGTGATTTTGATGACTGTATCGACAAAAAGACTGGAGTCAGTTGGATTAGGAGAAGCTTAGTGAAAGTCAATTTAGGGAATCAAAAAAAAACAACAAGATCTTCAACAATGTTTTGTCGGTTTGGCTTCAGAGGGTTCGAATGTCAATATGACCTATGGACAATCGTTGCCCTGTGATGGACAGTGTGGATTGATGGCCAGCAAGTGGGTTATCTAGACTTATTGCTAGATTTTTAGATCGGATAAGCCATCTGGCTAGTGCCCCACTCAACAACGTGTTTCAACGAAAACCAACAGTCTAACATCTATTCTTTTAGCTTCAACGGACACGAGGTCTACGGCTTCTACTGTGCCTCGAACAAGTTCTGCAACTCGTTGAATCTCACCAATCATTGCATGAAGATGTTTGCCGATGGTGGCACTTATTTGGAGGCTTGCTGCTGCTCAAATTCGGACAATTGCAATCTCAACAACCTTGACGTAAGTAGTAAAAACTGGTAATAACACTGAATATGACGCATCCGCTTAAAGTTTTCTTGGCAAAAGAGCTAAGGGCACCAGAAAGTGTGCGTTTATCTTAAAGTACTCAACCGCAGAATGTCTTTTAGACCCCAATTAATCCACCACCGTCATTGCCTCCCCCGTCGTACCATGGAGCGCCAATCACTTGCTTCAGTGGAATTTCGATCAACGGTGTTAGAACAACAGCTGCCGACAGCTTCCAGACTTGCTATGGAGAGTGTTTCTCGGTATTTGTATGTAAAATTCTAAAACCTTGCGTTTTAGATGACCTACCAATTGAATCTCCTCGGTAAGAACTATGCCGCAACTCTGTTCACATGTGACCCCTCGGAAATGTGCGATCACTTCGGTATCAGTGGAAGTTGTGCAACGGTGAGTGGATGTATTTTAAGTAGGGATAAAATTAAACTACTAACTAGAGTACTAGTACTAAATACTTACATTAGAAGTACTATGTACACGAGCTCTAACCTAGTATCTAATGAATGGCACTCAATGAAACCATTTCGAACAAATATCCCATTTAGCTCCTCGGTGAACAAGGCTCAAATGCAATCTCCGGTTGCTGCTGTAATTGGAACGATTGTCTGGATTGGAACGGAAAGGTTAGAGGCCTGGAAAAATTAGCTATTTCAAAAATTTAGCCAAAATCCACCAACGTGACGCACCGACCCGATAACTTGGCTTGTGTCGTAGGTGAGTGATCAAACAGTTTCTTTAGTTTTCTTCGAGTGTTTGCTCTTGGAAAAAATCTCAAGGCCATAATTTCTTTAGTTCGCTATATCTAGAAATAAGAACAAAATGTCTAGGAGCCTCCTACAAAAGCGCTGGCGCTGATGAGCAGTTGTTGGGCAGCTCGATGCGTTGTGATGGATCGTGTATCTCGGTGGAAACAAGTGTTAACAATGTCTACTTGACAGGTGTGTTTGGCATTTGTTAGCTCACTAAATGATCCGGTTCGGCTAACCCTTACTTACCGTTATCATTGCTATCCAATAAACCTTTTACAGGGTACTACTGTGTCGAGCCATCATTGTGCACTAAATTGGACATGACGAACAAATGCAATGCGTTGCTTGGCGATCAATATGCAAAGGGATGCTGTTGTGACACAGGAGACAATTGCAATAATGTGAACAATTTGGACGTGCATCAATATACTCCACCAATGGATCCACCACTTGCATGTTACAGGTAAACTTTCACAAAATGCTAGAAGTTGCTCCAAAAAAAAACAAAAACAAAAAGCTAGGGACCGAACCCTGATCCTGTGGGCGGAAGCCTAATGCATGATCCACTAGGCCACCAACGTATCCTTTTTCCGCTAAGAAGCCTTTTAAAGCATCAGTTTTGACGCCAAATTTTCGATTAACGTTTTGCACGCCTGGAAAGTCCATTGGGAGATTTGGATTTCAGATTCGGATTCCTCATACCCGATTCTATAAAGTACACTAGATGTCCAGACAAAAGCTCACCTTGAGCTTTAGCCATTAGACAAACAAAAAATTTCCAAAGTTTAGCGGTCTTTCCATCAATGGAGCCATGCAATCCGACGCGAACTCGTACATGGCATGCCAAGGCAAATGTGGTCTTCTCTCTTTCACAACCGTTGTCGGTGATAAGAGCTATGATTTCACGTTGTTTGGTTGTGAGCCTGTTGATGTAGGTAGAGAAATTTGAACTCTTTTAATGCTTTTTTAGGTTTGTGACCAGCTCGGCCTGAAAGACTCTTGTAACAAGATCGTCAATGGAATGATTCAAGGATGTTGCTGCGGGTGGAGTGATTGTATCGATCGAGAGCACAAGGTTTGATGGAGAAATGAGAAAAATATTTAGTAAATCAAGCCCGTAACTGGAAAGTTCATGACTTATAATTTCTCTAGTCGGTGAAACCATCTCGTGATACACTTCAATGCTTCTCGGGAATCGCCACCGAAGGTTCCCAATACAATTCGACCATCGGCACTGCTCAGGCTTGCGATGGGCAATGCGCTTCAATTGCTAGCAGGTAAAAGTTTTCTGATTTTTAATCACAAATTCAATATGGTTTAGCATCAACAATCAAGCCACGTGGGTGTTCTTCTGTGCGTCGAATAAACTCTGCGATGCGCTCAATATGACGAACCACTGTGACACTTTGTTCACCGACAATCAGGATTACCTGGAGGCGTGCTGTTGCAATGACGACGATCAATGCAACGTTAACAATGCTCATGTAAGACTAGGTTTATGATTCTAAATTAGCGTTATGAACAAGTTAAAGTTTTCAGAAAAAAAAGTAACTGTTTCCCAGGTTGACCCAGCTCCAACTCTTCCACCGCCTCCATCGGGCGTCCCACCAATCACTTGCTACAACGGCCTCAGCATCAACGGAAATCTTCTCACCGCCGGCAACAGCTATCAAGCCTGTTTCGGGGATTGCTCAGCGGTAATTTTAAAACATTTAAAGTCTGCAGGCCTTTACAATAAACCACGTGGCAGTACAAGTAGTCCAAGTACGAAAATTCTTGATCACACATTACTGAGCTCAATTACAACTCAATTTCTAGATCACGTACCACTCAGTCTTTTTGGGCAAGAGTGTCACCACCACAGTGTACGCTTGTGACCCGGCGAGTTTGTGCAGTCAGCTGGGAATGGATAGCAAGTGTGCAAATGTGGGTTTTTGTGCGAAACGAGAAAAATTTGTTTGTCCATAAAAAATGGCTTAGATTCAAAATGGTATAAAAGAATCGCATAACAAAATGGTTTAGATTCAAAGCGGAAACACGTCGACGACATTGTACGGATGTTGTTGCACGTACAATGATTGCATCGATCTATCGAATGGGATGGTAAGCTCAAAGTTTCTTGGTTCAATGAATGCCTAAATGAGTTCAGAAATTTTAATCTCAATTTCTGAGTTTTGCTGAATCACTTCGGAAGCAATCAAAAGTGTTTAGTTGAAAGACCCCGCCAGCTCGACAACCACCACCACAACCCTAGGAACTGGTCCAACCACCACCACAACTCTAGGTACTGGTCCAACCACCACCACAACCCTAGGAACTGGTCCAACCACCACCACAACCCTAGGAACTGGTCCAACCACCACCACAACTCTAGGTACTGGTCCAACTACTACACCAGGTACTGGACCGACAACAACTCCTGGTACTGGACCAACCAATACTCCGAATACTGAACCGACTAACCCAACACAAAGGACTGACATGACGACAACCTCAACCTCAACCCTCATCTCATTGCTCTTTGCTCTTTTGTTGCCTCTTTTTAAACTATTGAATTAGAATTTGTCCTCTTCGCTTTGCTTTCGATGTTTTCTTTTCTTGAATAAAAAGATTTCTATGTCATTTGATCGAATATATACGTAATAGCAAAAACAGCTGATAATGAAAAGCCAACCGTTCAAAATTCAAGAGAAATTTGGTCTTTAAAACCAGAATCACTCATCTTAGTCAACCCAGTCCTCCACCTAGCTTAACCACCAAAAATCTTATGAGTGTTAGCTTCAGTTTACAATCATTGAAGTGGTAAATTGAGCCGGTTATCTTTATAATTTATAAAATGAAGTACTTGTTGGATTGTAAACAAACACTGTGTTTTTGAGTTGAAAGAGAGGAATTTTTATGAAAGACCATTGTAAACTCCCAGGCCGAGAAAGATAAAAGCCTAATTTAGGCATGTGAGTAATCAATCCAAGGCGATCACTGTTCAAATTATTTTTTTTAAATTTCTGCAAAGTTTTCCTTCGAGCTTTCCTTCAAAAGTATTTCATTAAATTTGTCCAGTGAAGTATCTTTAATAAACGATTTAAATTTAAAAACGACCTGGGAAGTTTGAGTGATTTAAAATATCAAAAAAGAATTGTTGCTTTGTTTTTTGGAAAAATTTAATTGCATCCCTTCTAGGACAATGAATTTTTATTGTTGTCAAAAATAAGTACGTCAGAAAGGCCGTGTTTGGAATTTTTGGGAACACAAAACACTGAATTCATGTTTTAAATAGTTTACAGTTTTCTAAAAACAACAATTTCTCCACGATGATGTGAAGAAAATTGGCAAGATGAGTCGCACATACTACATAGAGCAATGTTAGATTTACAAAACATTAAGTATTGAAGCTGATAAGAGATCGAGTAGCAGAAGGGCTCAACAAAGAGAAAATCTCTTTAGTTAGGTGATTATTGGAATCTTCGTACTTGGCATAGTAGAAAAAAGGGAAAAGAGATTCAAAGGAATCGAAAACAAGAAAACGAAACGAAAACAAAAAAAGCGGCTCGATTGTAATTCTATTGTGTGAAAGTCGTAAAGAAGATAGTAGAGTGAGGGGAAAGGCTGGAGGTGGCGCCTTTTAAAGCGTCTTAAAATTTTAAACTCATTTGCAAAGAGTCATGCTTAAAAGGCTTCAAATCCTGGACTTTCACTTCCAATCCTGGACTTACATCAAATTGTTTTGAATTGAATACATCAAATTGTTTATCTCTTAGCGCTTCAAAGCAACGTAAAGCTAGCTCGTTTACACTTCTTCATAGTGTTACTTAGCACTTTGGAAACTTTGCAGTCTTTACCATTTTGATTTTGGGCATTACACTGTGGTGCAAAAGTCTTGTCCCACTTACTTTTCTGAAACATTTTGTCAAAATTCTAAAAATTTTCGAAAACAACTTTTTAAGTAAAGGGATTTTTCTGAACCCTAATTTGTAAGCTTTCATATAAAAGTTTTTAGATTTAAAAAATTTATTACCTAAAAGAAAATAACAAATAAAGTTTAAAATCAAAAAATCTATGGTGCAAAAGTCTTGTCCCACCATTAAAAAAGGAAAGCTAGATTAATATTTTGTTGGTTCTTTCGCCAAAATCACTGCTTGAATACGTTGAGGCATTGAATCGACCAAATCACGTAGAATTCCCGAAGAAATTTGTCGCCAAACGTTTCTGATAAAGAACCAAAGCTCGACCTTTGTGTTGAAGAGCTTGCCCCTGAGTTTAGTCTTTAAATGGGCCCAAAGATGCTCTATAACATTCAAATCCGGCGAATAAGGAGACACTTTGATCTATTTTACACGATAAGCAGCAAAAAGGCCGGGTAGGCGAGCTCTTCCTCCATTTGCAAGTCGGACAACTCGGCCCATCATTAGCTGGCTTTTGTGGCATGGAGCGTTGTCTTGATATAAGGCCCATCCTTGTGGCATGTTCGTGTTTGCAAATGGAAGTAAGTTGTTCTCTATGATTGACTTGTACCTTCGAGCGTCGAGATTTCCATTGATAAACACTAGCGGTCCCGATACACTTCGATTTATCGAGCCTAAAAAAGACAAATCGTAAGTGAAAGATAGGGCGAACACTTACCCCACAACATAATACTCCCACCACCGAATTTGACCGTTGGCTTAACGTATTTGAGCTTATAACGTTGTCCAATTGGTCTTCTGATTAAATGGATAGTATAAATTAATTCTAGTCTCATCGGTAAAAATGACTCGGGCCCAGTCATCGGAAGTCCAACACTCGTAGTTCTTTGCAAAATCATATCTCAGCTTCCGAGTTTTTGCAATGGTCAAGGGTCGTTTTGCTGGTCTTCTTGCATGCAATCCTGCTCGAATCAAGCGACGGTTGATGCTCCATCGAGAAATATTTTTGTTAGACATGGCCTTCAACTTCATGATTCCATGGCTCGAAGTCAGAGTCGGGTCGATTCTATGGTCATTGATAACCTTCAGTTTTTGTTGTAATCGGTGGACGACCACTTTTCGAAGCTCTCTGAAGACTTTGGCCTGTTTCCGGTTTTGCTGCTAGCCGATCCACCGTCCTTTTATTGCATTTGAAGAGCATCGTAATAGACGGGGATGAATATCCATATTTCTTTGCTTGCACGATCTTTTGCTTATCAGGAGTTGATAAATATTTGCGAGTCGACATCTAAATATAATATAATACAAAAAAATTCATGAGAACAAACAAAGGCAAAGAGAAAATACAAATTTTCTTAGTGACACAAGACTTTTGCACCACCTTTTTTTCTCAACTTTTACGAAAAAAAGGTTTTAAAAAACAACAAAATATTGGAGTACTGGCATTTACATGGTAAAAAAAATGAAGGGATAGGCTACTAAAAAACCCGTTACTTAAAAAGTTGCTTTCGAAAATTTTTAGAATTTTGACAAAATGTTTCAGAAAAGTAAGTGGAACAAGACTCTGCACCACAGTGTATATTGAACTTGTATTTTCTATGAATCTTGCTTGAATATTTGTATTCTGATTCGTAATCCTGACTTGTATCAATTTCTCATCATTACAGAAAATTTGCAATCTTGCAAGCTCGAATGCCTTGGAAAATTTTTTTTTTTTGAGAGGCATAAAATTAAATAATGCGGTTCTGTGGGCAAAAAGGCACAAAAAAACTTTAGACTCTTTGAAAAACTTACTATTAAAGAAATCAGAACTGATGTAAAAGCCTTCGAAACAAAGGAATAAATGAAGTTTTAAAGTTTTTATAATAAACTTGCTGTCCCATAGGATCGCAAAAGGCCAATACGATTTCACGATGTACTCGTGCGAGCCGGCAAACATGTGCCAACAACTTGGAACTAAGGTACTCGAACCCCAATCATGGAGTGCTATGTGGGAGTTCACATTGTGAACACGACACCCAATAATGCTGTCGATGTCGGCGCTCCGATTGCTTGTGATGGAATGTGCGGCCGCCTGAAGACTAAAACTGCTGTATATACGGTTAGTCTACAACAATTGTAAACCAAATTACCTTTTTTCAGATCGAATCTTTCTACTGCGCCTCGTATAACTTGTGCTGGGCTTTGGACACGGTTGGAAGCTGCTCGAACTTGACTTTTGCTGGAATGAGCGTTGAGACGTGCTGTTGCTGGGATTCGAACAATTGCAACACCAACAATACTGATATCACTCCTGTGACACCGACACAAATACCGAGAAGAGACGTGATCGCTTGCTTCCAGGGACTTCATGTTAATAAGTAGGTTGTTGAAATGTTTGTACATGATAACAAAATTTTTAGCGATGTTATTGCTATTGCTGAGAGCTACACTGCGTGTGGTGGTGACTGTGCCTCGTTAACAGTTCAATCGTCAGTTAACGGAGATCAATACAATGTGACTCTTTACACTTGTGACCCAGCCACCGTTTGCCAAGGATTAGGAATTATCAACAGGTTGACTAAGTTGGTAATAGCTTGGATCCATTCAAATTATAGATGCGCTCAAATCACGAACACACCAATCAGCGGATGTTGCTGTGACCACCACCTTTGGAGGTCAAGGACCGTGTGATGGGCAATGTGGATCACTTGTCACAAACGTCAATGGTATCAAGACCTTCGGATACTATTGTGCTCCACAATCGCTTTGCTCTGCTTTCGGTAGAAAACAAGCCTATTATATTTATTGTGCAATACATCCGAATTCTTGTATCCAATCAACCAAACTTCAGAATTGGAAAACGAGTGCACTAATCGTTTGATCGACGCTACTGGGAATTTTTCCATTTCCATCGACGCTACTGGGAATTCCACAATTTGAGCGCTGATGACAAGTACGCATTGTGCTTTGGAAAATGCGCTGCGATCACCTACAACACATCGGTTAGCGGTGAGTTTTTTGGCAGTTGATGATAAGCAGAGAGTAAACAGAATGATGACGTCATGATAGCATTTAGCAATGCTTTGCTCTGAAGTAGATAGTTGACTAATAGTAAGACCAGGAGATAAATATTATAAATAGCTGTTTTACTCTTTGAGTAAAGCATTTTCTAAAAGGTATAGTTAGGATTGCGTTTTTGAATCAATAGCTGAGTTAAAGCTTTGGGAATTTGAACGTACTGATTCTAAGTTTAGTGGAATCTTGGAGTGTAAACAATTTCCTCTTTTAACTACACTATTTAGGCTCGAATTTTGCGGCCACGATGTTCACCTGTGATTCGGTCTCTTTGTGCCCGATTCTTGGAATCAACGATGCTTGTGCGACAATAATGGGAAACGCGACTATGTGTGAGTACTCATTGTTAAGACAAAATTTTGAGACTACTTATGGTAATAGGCAATCAACTTCTTACAATTTGTAAAAGACAAATCCATTTTAGTGGCTGCTGCTGTAGTTAGAACGATTGTATCAACAAGACGAGTGGAATCACGCTTAATCCCAATCCCTATGTAATCCTTTCAACCAGCGCACAGCCAACAACGACAACAACCAGTGCACAGCCGACAGTTAGCATACAGACAGCCGGCACGCAACCAACGCCCGGAACCCAGCCGACAGCCGGCAACCAATCAACAAGAGCAGCTGGTACTCAACCAACAACTGACCTACAATCATCAGCCGGAACCCAACTGACAAGCGGCACATAGCCCATAACCGGCCCGCCAACAACAACTGGCACACAACCACCAACCACCAGTTTCTCAAACACGATTCCCTTTCTCCACTGTCTCGTCGTTCTAAATCAGATAACACCAATCACCCATCTCATGCATGTGCTTCCTCATTGCCTTTGAAGTGACTTTTAATCCTTGCATGTTTATATGTAACTTGTTAAAATAGGCTTTATTTTTGTCTTTGAAGTTTTCTTGTTCCGAATAAAAATCTTTTTAAAGGAAATGCATAAAAGTTGATGATTTTGTGCATATACCAACAAAAGAATCGGAATTTCAAACTTATCAGTTACTATAAAAAGCAGACAGCTAGGTTAGGTAACTTGGAAGTATGTTTAGCCAGTGCTTTCTAAGATATTTATGCTCTACTCCACTTCTTGCACAATAAAGTATCATTATGACTTTTTTTTTGAGCACAAATCAAACAATGAGTGTGTTTGAGTTGAAAGAGGGGAATTTATAACTCTTCGGAAGACGATTGTAAACTACCACGCCGAGAAAGATAAAAGTCTAATTTGGGCGGGATGATTCCCCATTAAAAAGTGGCAATTTTTTGAACTGATCTATGCTCAAATAATTTTACTTTATGTTCTTACAGTTTTCTTTTAAGATATTGAAAGTACTTGAGCTTTGAGTTAATTGGTGTTAATTGTATGAGTTCATATAAAAATTTTCGGTTTTAAGAATCTAGCGAATGAATTAATATGAATAAAAGAGCAGAAAGATAATAAAAGATACATTACATTACAAGTAACACAATGGTTTAGCAAAAATGTGAGATTTGTAGTAAAAATTTAGGCAAATTTAAGGCAAAAATTGTTTCCAAAAATGTGGATATAATGACGCGAAAAAGCGGAAAGCCCGATACTTCTATTGGGTTGCGGAGAATGAAATCGTACCGAAAATCAAAGGAATTTCTAAAACTTCTAGCAAACTTTTCGTCAAATGATACGCGTTTGATATCAGTAGAAAGTTTAACGAATTCTCTACAAAATGACATTTAAAAGAGAACTCAAACAAGCCTCAGCTCAAAAAAAAATTGTTTATATTTTTGGCTCTGTTTCAAAGCACAGTTTTTGGGGTAGGCTAGTTTTCGCAACTTTTTTTGCGCAACAGGGTCATTTGCGCAACTTGCCATAACTTTCTTCTAAGTCGGCCAATCTTTATGATTTTGTGTCTTTAAAGTTCGGCGCAATTTCATTCTCCCCAACCCAATAAAAATCGGATAACGGATAAGAGCCGGAACTTGTATTGGAATAACCACTATAGAAAGCTGCTTAGCTGCAGAAAAAAAAGAGGAAAGCTGCCCGGACAGCTCATCATGAAATTGTTGGAATCGTCTCACTTATCATAGTAGAAACAAGGGGAAAAGAAAGTCGGAAGAGAAGCGTGATTGTAATTCTGAATATTACAACCCGATTGTGTCCCGAGAAAAAAGATTGAGAGAGGGCGGAGGTGTGTGGTTTCATGAAGGAAGATACGAGGCAGAGACTCCCCTCCATTTTCATTCATTCGCTCATTTCGGCTCCTCACCTCCGGTCGCCTCGCCCCTGCTATCATTTTTCTTCTCTCTGGCTTACTGTAGCCTATCACTTGTCTTCTCGGCCGTTAATCTGCTAATCCCCTTGTCTCGTGAGAAAACATTTACATAGCTACAGTAGCTAATTCTTTCTCATTGAGAGCCTTTAATTGAGTTCAACACTTGTTGAAAATCCTTTGACTTGCCTTTGCTTGCTTTTTAGGTTCAGTTAGAGTCGCGGTATCTATTTTGGCTCCTTAGAGCCGCCACACACTGCCCTGGCCCCTTCGGTGGTCTAATGGTTAGTCTGATAGACTACCAAACATGTAACATTCTCGTTCCCAAGTTCGGATCCCACTCTCCCCAAGCTTTTCTTGTTTTTTTTTGAAAAACTGTTTTCCTCGTATTTACAATGAATAATAGGGTTGAATTTTATGCACCTTTAGCTTTCAGAAATGTGGCAACAAATGTTAAATTTTTCAATACTTCTGATACTTTGGAAGATTCCGGCTTTTGTAAATTATTTGCTGAAGTTACAGAAAGCGTGTAAAAAACTCGAGTCAATAATTCAATAAAAATACGTAAGGAAACAGTTTTTTAAAAAAGCAAAAAATTTTGACGAGAGTGGGACTCGAACTTGAGGGCAAAAAATGTAATAGGTTCGGTAGCCTAGCAGACTATCCACTAGACCACCAAAGCAGTTGTTGAGGCGGCTTCTTAAGGAGTCCGAAATTCAAGATGATTTTTTATGCCAAATATCACACGTTTGCGAAGCGTTCTGCAAAAACTAAAAACGGATTCGAGATCCCCATGGCCGACTCTATAAAATGAATTCTCGAGGCAAAAGGCCAGCTTGACTCGATGCCTTTCCCTTATAAGCAACAAATTTTTACTAGCACCATGAGTTCAACCATGAGTTTAGTGAGTACAGAATTCAGTACTAATTGTACGCCCTAGGTTTGGCACCAAATCCTCAATGGAGATAAAATTGTCGGACTAGATTTAGGGTTGTGTGGAATTGGTAATTTGGTATGAGTCAATTTTGCAAGATTCTCAATTTTCAGTCTAAGTCTAACTGTGAACAGAGGGAAGATTTCCTATTGGAACAATTATGATGCCAAATTTATAATTTTGCCTTCAGTAAGATTTTCAAGTTTATTCGCTTTCTTATGAATGTAAACCGGAATGTTTTCACGATTTCTCAAGCATATATTTGCTTGCCTAATATTGTCAAATTTACCGTTTACTTACCGTACATCTTTTCGTTTTATTAACTTGTAAGCGCACTTGGCTTTGCTTAATTTATTTGGTCAGATTTTTTAAGTAAAAATTGCTTTCTTTCCACAGATCTAGCTTCTTTTTGACTCTTCTCAAAGTCTTAAAAGTGGTTAAAAGATTCAATCGGTAGTCTCTCTTCTCATTTCTTCTTCATTCCAGCTTATCATCCCATCACTAATTTACGACCGAATGTAAAACGTGTGTGCCTTTTCTAAATTGGGGCTGCTCGATGGTTTTTGTGAGTGAATGGAGTGTCTCGTTTGTGTTGCCATTTACAGCCACTATCTCGTCTTTTCGTAGAAATGGCCTCAATGAACAGTACAATCTGTCAGACTTTCAAAACTCAGAAGTCAGAAAGAAGCATAAGGTTTTGTGTTGCCCAATAGGTAGGCTTTATCTGAAGTTGATATTGGCTAAGTCAAGCCAGCATGACTTGCAAATTCTAGGGCACAGTTTAACTAACCCGAACAATGACAATAAGCTCCTGACCGTTCGCCCTGACAAAGCTTTAGGTAGTTAGAGTACTACCATTGCTTGGTAGTACCATTGCTTTTCTATTGTTTACTAAGGGATGCTTTCTACAGTTTTCTCATTCTATGATTCCTATTCCTGATTTGTATCAACTTCTCATCATTACAGAAAATTTGCAATCTTGCAAGCTCGGAAGCCTTGGAAAATTTTACGAGAGGCATAAAATCAAATGATGCGGTTCTGTGGGCAAAAAGATAAATATAGGCACAAAAAAAACTGTAGACTCTTTGAAAAACTTACTATTAAAGAAATTAAAACTGATGTAAAAGTCTTCGAAACAAAGGAATGAATAAAGTTTAAAAGTTTTTATAATAAACTTGCTGTCCCAAGCTTATCTTGAATTCTCTTTTTTTTGCTGTCTTTTGCCTAAAATAATATAATTGTATTATTTATTTGTTTCAGATGGGTAACTTGACCCGGATAGCATTGCTATGTCTGGGCTTGGTCAGCTTAGGCTACGGGCTTGAGTGTAATGTCGGATCGATGACCGTGGACAAAGAGGGGAAAATCGTCGAGAGTCAAATTGAAGCGGTAAGTTATTGTACTTGGTGAAGGTTCTAAAGCCTTCTGACTAGAATTTTGTTAGAATAGAAATCTAGACTTGGTACGGCTTAAGCCTGAATAGAATCTTTTAACAATAGAAAATCATAAAGTCAAAAATTCTTTATAGAAAGAATGCTCTGGTATGTGCACAAGACGTTCTCCGTTGATGGCTGATGGTTCAACAGTGCACTTTTTGGAGTGTGAACAAAGGGTGAGTTTTGGAAATTTCAAAGTTCTGAAACTTCTGCAGACTTACAAATTCAACTTTATAGGATCGCAGCTTTGAAGCGGATTCAGTTTGCCACGATGATCTTTGCAATCGAGTACCCGGAAAGGCAATCGAAACGGAGTTGCTCAAAGTTTCCGATCCCAATGAGGATCCTGTGGTTTGTTTTATAAAGATGTTTATTAACTAAATCTATTGCAATAAAACCTTACATTTAGGCTGATTTCACCTGCTACGTCGGTATTCAAGTCGGAAGTATGACATTGGCTGGAGCCGTTTCCTCGTGCAGTCAAGCTGGCGCCACCGGATCGTGCGCTTCAGCTTCGACCTTCCTCGGACGTGAGTTCTATAGAAGAAATTTGATAGTGAACTCTACGAATATACACATTTCATTTCAGAATACCAAGCCACTCTCTACTTCTGTACAACGCACGCGATTTGCAACGCTTTCGTCACCCCATCTCCCCCTGATGGCAACTTGGTGTGCTCGGGAGTGAGCGCTCATCCCGACTACAATATCACCGCTTGCTGTTGCTATGATCAATCAAACTGTAACACGAATGGAACTGTATGTAAATTTTGACTTTCTACCCAACCGGCTATTCAGATTCCAACACCTTTGCCCTCGGCTACTCCACAAACCCGCATCCCGATCGCTTGCTATTCGGGAATTCACATTGCTGGAACTCTCATTGCTGGCGGGTCATACGTTGCTTGCCAAGGAGATTGCGCCTCAGTGACGTTCATGGTGAATTTTTATAGAACTTGAAGCTTCTACGTAAATTCCTTTAGCTCCAAGCTCAATACGATTTCACGATGTACTCGTGCGAGCCGGCAAACATGTGCCAACAACTTGGAATTACCAACAATTGTCTGAAGTGAGTTTTAATCGCTTGCTTATAAATAAAAACCAGATTCATTAAACGATTCTAGACTCTAGATTATTAGTTTCTAATCAAAGCTGATCAGCTATTGACAAGATTTTAGCCTTTCCAATGGAACGCTCGCCGGATGTTGCTGTAACTCGGATGCTTGCATTGATCCAACCGTCACCCCACCGAGATATCCAAATGGTTAGTTAATCTACAAAGTGAAATTTAAAATTTTCTATTAAGGTACTCGAACGCCAATCATGGAGTGCTATGTGGGAGTTCACATTGTGAACACGACAACCAATAATGCTGTCGATGTCGGGGCTCCGATTGCTTGTGATGGAATGTGCGGCCGCCTGAAGACTACAACTGCTGGATATACGGCTAGTCTACAACTGTAAACCAAATTAATGCGAGAACTTTTTTAGATCGAGTCTTTCTACTGCGCTTCGTACAACTTGTGCTGGGCTTTGGACACGGTTGGAAGCTGCTCGAACTTGACTTTTGCTGGAATGGGCGTTGAGACGTGCTGTTGCTGGGATTCGAACAATTGCAACACCAACAATACTGATATCACTCCTGTGACACCGACACAAATACCGAGAAGAGACGTGATCGCTTGCTTCCAGGGACTTCATGTTAACAAGTGAGTCTGGTTTTTTATAACTTTTATTCAGGCATGAGAAACTAATCCTGCTTATGCATAATTTTTAGCATTTCAATCGCTGAAAGTTACACTGGATGTGTTGGTGACTGTGCCTCGTTGACAGTTCAATCATCAGTCAACGGAGATCAATACAATGTGACTCTTTACACCTGTGACCCAACCACCGTTTGCCAAGGATTGGGAATTGTCAACAGGTTAGCTAATTGAATAATAACTTGATTCATACAAATTATAGATGTGCCCAAATCCCGAACACACCAATCAGCGGATGTTGCTGTGACTCGGACGTCTGCATCCAGCCATACCAACGAAAGTAAGCGCTTAAAACAATTAGTGAGTTGGCAAGTTTGATAGATTTAATGGATTTTATGAATCAACCCTTGAATTCAGATATCCCAATGGCACAAACTCCCTTCAGTGCGGAGCTGGTCTCACTGTCGACTCCTCCAACTACACGAATGTCTACCAAGTGCAATGTGACGGAACATGTGCCTCTGTTGAGACGACGATCAGCGGAGTGAGTGATTCTAGACTGGAAGCTTTATTTTTCAGCTTTAATCATGAACAATCTTAAAATTGCAGGCCCGTTTTGTCGGTTATTTCTGCGCGCCCACCTCCACCTGCAAAACCCTCGACCTTCGCAACGACTGCCTCACCATTCTGGGAGATGCTGGCTCACCACATGTTACAGGTTTGTCAAAAGCGAAAAAAAATTATTAATTAATTGTTCAGCTTGCTGCTGCGACTACCAAAACTACTGCAACACTGAACGGAACCGAGTCCGACCGATGCCGTACACACCAGCGACGAATCGACCACCAATCGCTTGCTGGGGGTGAGTTTTTACTTGACAATAGAATCGGTTTAGTACCAGGGTGTAGTAGAATTCACATCTTTCTTATATTATCTTTATTATCGCATTTCTATTTGCATCTTTCAGAGGTCTTGGCATCAACAACAACTTCTTCGACAATTCTGGCCGTTATATGGCATGTCAGGGTGATTGTGGAATGATGACCTTTAGAACGTCGATCGCTGGTAGGAACTTAAGGAGACTAAAGCTTTGCTTAATAAAATCTATAGTCATATATTTGTTCAAAAGTTTGTTTCAGGACAAGACACCAATGTGACAATGTACAGTTGCGATCCGGTTGGCGTTTGCGATCGAATGTACCTCCAAAATGCGTGCGGCACCTCGCCAACAGGAATCTTCACGGGATGTTGCTGTGACTGGAACGATTGCATCGATATTCCGAATAGAAAGGTAGAATTTGAAAATTATATTGCTCAAGAACTTTGCGAAATAAACCTGCCAAAGCCAACATTCAACTTCAGATCAACCCCTATCCATTGCCCTCATCAATCAACTGCTACATTGGACTCGGCTTCCAAAATACATCAGGTCGAATTCCAATAAATTTCTGAAATATTTCAATTTCAGGCGGAAATGTTACAAACATTGGTGGACAAATGTCTTGCGATGGACAATGCGGTACTCTTGTCACCGATATCAACGGAATTCACACCTATGGATACTACTGCGCTCCACAGGCTATTTGCTCGGCTTTCGGTAGGGTATTTTTGTCAGATCAGAGACCAAATGACTTTAATACTCGCAATTAGCTTTTGATATGGAGATAAGAAAACAAGCTAGCTTAGTAACTATGCAAAACAATCAAAACTTGATACAGTCATAAAGCAACTGATCCTTTTTCAGATGTATGGAACGAGTGCACTCGAAGATGGTTGGACTATCCGGATGCCACCGATTGGGTTGACATTTGCTGCTGCAACAATGCCGACAATTGCAATTTCCAACGACAGGTTAGTAGTTAACTCTCCGGGGAGTATCAATAGTTTGGTTCACAATATGAACAAGCTATGGGATCAAGTATCGACAAGAATTTTGTCAGCTGAGAGATTCTAGAACAATTGGAAGTGTGAAAGTAAAGCCGAAAATAAACTTTCAGCAACCCAACGTCACTGTTCCCACTCCAACTGGCCCAACAAGGCGAAGAACCCCAATCTCTTGCTATTCCGGACTCTCATTCCTCTACAACAACACTTTCTACGGCTTGACCGACGATGACAAATACATGGCTTGTCAAGGAGATTGTGCTCAGCTCACCTATCAATCTTTCCTTAGCGGTAAATGAAGAGATTCAGCAGCAATGAAACCATCTTGTTTTCAGGAAACAACTTCTTGGCTACCGTTTACACTTGTGATCCCGTATCTCTTTGCGCTACACTCGGAATCGCGAATAGTTGCACCAATATCACAAAATCGGACAACCGTGGAACGGGAATCTCGTGAGTTTAGTGTCGACTATAACTTCAATTAATCACTTTAGTGGCTGTTGCTGTAACTGGAATGATTGTATCAACAAAAACAACGGAAGCATCAACCCACAACCACACAAAAATGATCTCCAATGCTTCGTCGGTGTCCAATTGCAATCGAACCCAATGAATTCAAGCACCCGAGTGATGACTGTGAGTCTTGATAGCAATTTTAAATGACAACTGCAACCAGTAGACGAATGTGAAGCTATTTAGGGAGCCTCAATGCCTTGCAACGGTGAATGCGCTTCGGTGAAAACGCATTTCGGCAGCTACGACATGTGGTCCTTCATGTGCGCTCCACAAGTTCTCTGCGACGTTTTCGATACGGAACGCGAGTGTGGTGAGCATTAGCTAATTATCTTTATCATATGAGCTTAAATCCTTTATGATTGAGCTTGCTCTTTAGGCACTTACCAAATGGATGCGGCCGGTGACTATCTTGAGACTTGCTGCTGTGCCCGCTGGGATAATTGCAATATCTACGGACATGGCTTCCCAGTTCCTTCACCCGTTCCATCCATCGACCCAACGACTTCTCCAATTGCTTGCTATGCTGGCTTTGCGCTCAATCGAAACGTGCTCACTCCGGACAATAGGTAACTAAAGACTAAAGAGAATCTTGTAAGATAAGTTATTTCCAGATTCATGGCTTGTCAAGGACAATGTGCGCAACTCACTTACGGTTCTCGAGTGAACGGAAACGATTTCTCGGCGACAATCTTCACGTGTGATCCTGCAGCGTTGTGCAACTCGTTCAACATGTCAAACAGGTTCAAAGCTTTGAAAGTTGCAATGCTTACTAAACACAATGGCTTTCAGCTGCGGCGATCTCCAGAACAATGGCCCCAACGGTACTCGAATTCGTTCATGCTGCTGTGGATGGAGTGACTGTATCGATCGATCGTCAAACAGTTCATTCTCGGTGAGTTTCATTGTAGAATCTAATTCTTAATCTTTAAACGAAACTTCGATCACTTCAATACTATCTTTCAGGTGAAACCCATGCCCCATTGGCACAAGGATGACTTGAACTGTTATGTTGGCCTCTCTTTCCTCGGCTCAAATGGAACAACCAGCTATGGATCCTCAATGGGAATTTGCAATGGAGAATGCATGAGTGTCGAAACGATGGTTTGTGGGAGAAAAAAATACCGCAATAATCAGCCAGATTTGATTAATTATGAGCTAAACTAGCTTGGTTGGCTGGCACACTTTCTCTAACCTACTAACTGAGCAAATTTCAGTTCAACGGAGTCGTCACAATTGGCTTTTTCTGTTCCTCGGATTCAGTTTGCGATGCGATTGATCCAACTCGTGGATGTGCGACTAGATTCCTTGATCGAGTAGGAATTTTACCTATAATTGAGTTATCTATCATATAAACTTGTCTTAGAGTCACGAAAAAACCAATTCATTTCAGAGCGGCGACTACTTGAAGGGATGTTGCTGTGCCGACACCGACAACTGTAACACAGCCAGGTGCTAAATTCTTTTAAAAAATGGACTACTGAAGAACTATGAATCTTGTGACATTAACGTGGAATCCTTTTATAATAAATAACTTTCTTTTAGAGTATGGAATCGACCCAGGAATGCCAGTGAACACCACCGGAGTGCCAGTGCTTGGCTGCTTGGCCGGTATCAACTACAATGGAGTTGTGAATACTGCTGATCGGTACTGCTTTTGGAAATATTTCACAAGAACAAAGAACAGACTAATTAGTGACAAAATCTTATATTTAACTTTTAGCTACATGGCTTGCCAAGGAGACTGTGCCTCGCTCACCTTCTCGTCGACAATCAATGGAGGACAACCAATCAACGTTTGTTTTAAGCTTTATGAAATACTGTAAAATAGAATTTTTTATTCTGTTAAACCTTTGATGTTTAGTTGACGATGTTTATGTGTGATCCGGTTCAAATGTGTGCTGGACTTCGCATGCAGAACCGATGCCACCGGATCAGCGTAAGTACTGGGGAAAAGCTGATGACAAGCTGTCTGACTGAAAATCGGTCATAATTCAAACCCTCTCCTAAGGCTGATGAAATTATAGCATAGAGAAAAGCTTGTTACATTTCATGATCATTACAACTTTCCAAACAAGAAGTTTAGCAACAAGGAAGCGACAACTCGACCTCGATTCGTGGATGCTGTTGTCAATGGAATGACTGTATCGACCCTAACACACTTCAGGTTTTCAAAAATGGCATTAAACAATCATAAATCTAATTGTAAATATTCTTTGTTTAATGATAGAATAAGCTCAACTTCACAACTAGTCTTATTGTTTGTATCGATTATCTTATTTAGATTCGCCCTTACCCATTGCCAACCTCAACCAACTGCTTTATCGGTCTCTCCTTCCAGAATGGAAGTAAGAATTGACTAAGATTATTTCAACAAAATCTCCTATTCAGCAAGCACCACAACTTATGGAGGACCTGGACAATGCGATGGCCAATGTGGATCACTTGTCACCACCGTTAGCGGAGTCAAGACCTACGGATACTATTGTGCCCCACAATCGCTTTGCTCGGCTTTCGGTAGGCTTTCATTACTTAAAATAAAGTTTTAAAAGGCTAAAAAAAATAACTTCTTGGCTTGTTAAGAGCTGTGGAACGAGTGCACAACGCGTTTCATCGACTCAGCCGCCGACACCGTTGACATTTGCTGCTGTAACTCGGGAGACAGCTGCAACATCAACAACCAGGTAGGCCACCGTTCAAAGCCTCTAGAGGACCTCCCCTAAATACTGTAATAGTACCCCACCCCTCTCGTACAGTCGCGTAGTCGCAAAAGTTTTTTAGTATTTCATTTTTTCAAAGCGCCCGTACTTTCCAAAAATGCGTCTTTGGTATCAAAAAATAGCTGAAATTCAGGGCTATTTTTTGATACCTAAGCGCCCCATTATAGCATAAATCAGTGTCGAGAAAAACTCGTTCAAAGCTAGACTACGCAACACTTCGCACCGTCATTATGGGGGGGGGGTACTATTACAGTATTTACGGTAATTCTAAATTTGTGGGCTTAAATTTAAAACCCAACTCTGATCCTGAGTCTTATTCCCAAACTTTTCAGCAACCAAATGTCACCATCCCAACTCCAACTCCACCAGCGACTAGAGGATACCCACTCTCATGCTATTCCGGTCTCACCTTCCAATTGGGTGGCACATTCTACAACTTGACTGATAGTGATAAGTACATGTCATGCTTTGGAAACTGTGCCGCTGTCACTTATGCCACCACGGCCAACAGTGGGTTGATTTATCTGGAAACGGTCCATTTGGATACAGCATCGTTTGCATCGTCTTCGGTGCACTAACAGTTTTTCTTTGTTTATTTTCAATTTCAATCGATTTCAATAAGATTTTCAACATTTTTAAGATCAATCTAGAACAATTAAATCTATAATTTGTCTCTGAGAACCGTCTACCTTTGGGGAACTAGAAGAATTCTAAAAAAGATCCACTTTAGACGCAAGCTTTGCCGCCACAATGTACACCTGTGACCCACAATACTTGTGCCCAAGTCTCGGATTGAGCAACCAATGCGTCAACATCACTGGAAACACTGGAAATGGAATCTCGTGAGTCTAACCAAGTGAGCCTATTGCAAAAAACCATGCTTTCAGTGGTTGCTGCTGTAACTGGAACGATTGTATCAACAAAACCACCGGCAACTCGCTCAACCCATATCCATTGCCAACGAGCAGCAATTGCTTCATCGGACTCTCCTTCTTCAACCAGAACACTTCAATGACCACAACTTATGGAGGTCAAGGGCAGTGTGATGGGCAATGTGGAACAACTTGTCACCACCATCAACGGAATCAGGACCTACGGATACTATTGTGCCCCACAAGCACTCTGCTCGGCTTTCGGTAGAAAAAGAATTATAGTTCAATCATTGACTCAACTTCAGAGGTGTGGAACGATTGCACTCGCCGCTTGGTCGACTCGGCCGGTGACGCTGTTGACATTTGCTGCTGCAATGGCATGGACAACTGCAACATCATGAACCAGGTTTGATGGGATAGCCAAGCCAAATATCCAAGGCTACTGTTTCAGCAACCAAATGCAACACTACCGACTCCAGTTGTCGCCACTATTCCTTCATCACCACTCGCCTGCTATGCCGGTCTCACTTTCACGTTCGGCGGTCAATTCTATAATTTGACCGGTGACGATAAGTACATGCCGTGCTTCGGAAATTGCGCTGCGATCACCTACAACACCACCGTCAGCAGTGAGTTCATTTAGATAAAAATGGTACTGATAGCAACAAGACATCTCTTTCGAAAAACTTTCAATGTTTAGGATCTAACAGTACCTGAAGGCTATAAAAAAGTCAGTTTTTGTTTGAATACATCATTTAGATTCAACATTTGGCGCTACGATGTTTACCTGTGACCCGGTGTCTTTGTGCGCGGGTCTTGGGATTGTGGATACCTGTGTGACTGTGCCGGGAACTGGAGGCGGAATTCTGTGAGTTTATCACACAGTATCAAGTGATTTGGGATAAAATATGGAGATTATATTGTATAAAAAGCTGCATGGAAGCGTAAAACTGACAAACCTATCGTACCTTTAGTTAGCTTGCGTTGGGAAAATACAAGCAAGTTGACGGTATAGTCGGTAATCAAAGGAAGATATTCTTTAGACATTCTTAATATCTTTTTATCAATTCAAATCCTTTTCAGTGGATGTTGCTGTAGCTGGAATGATTGCGTGAACAAGACGACCGGAAACTCGCTCAACTCCAACCCTTACGCGCTTCCCACCGGACCCGCACCCACGCAGCTCTCGAGCTCGATTCCGTTCCTCTTCACCACTCTGCTCATCTTGGTGGCCTCAGTGTTCTAAGATTAAATTCCATCCAAATCACTCATCTCATTCTTTTCATTTTCTTATGTGCTTTGTTTGATGTCTTTGAAGTGAATAAATTTCTAAAGCTTTATGAAGTTAACGGGGGTAAAAGACCGCGATTCGTTTTTCGGCCCTCCTCGATGAGTTGGTTGAGACCGAGCATAAGTGATGGACTCAAATGCTTTTGCATGTAGGGGTAGATTTGTTGTTGCACATCTTAGAGAACGGATATCAATTCTTTGGAAAAATGGTATCTTTACTATTTAGCTAAACACTTGTCATAGACAAGACTTTTCGGATTTTCAAATATGAATTGAATGACAAGGAATAGATTCTTTAGAGGTTAAATTACACTTACACATCCAAAATCTTTTAAAAGCAAAGTTTTGTTCAAGAATTGCCTTGTCCATACAATGTCCATACATCAGAACTCACTTTTCTTGGCAGTCCAGCCACTCGAGCCTCTTTAATTAACCGACCCAACTCCTGTTCGTTCATCATTCTAAATAAAACTAGCTAATATTTTGATTAAATACAGTTTGCAAAGTAAATGAATCTAAATTTTTACGAACTTTTACAACTATTTAAAGCAAACCTGCAGAAATTGTCCAAACGGAGCTGAATTTTTTCGGTAATTCTTGTGTCGTCGAGGGTGGTTGGTTTCTTTGTGGTCAATGCTTCATTTTCCGTGAGGCTCGGGTCAAAAATAGGAAAAGCAACCAAATTGGGGGCTTTCTCAGTAGTTGTCAGTTCACTTGTTACCGATTCATTATTGAAGGTGGTTGAACTGAAAATGTTTTTATCGGCATTTGACTTGGCCTCGGTTTTTGGAAAGAGTAGCATTGAATTCTTGGCTATATTCTTATTTTGTCAGCATTCTGCACTAGAAACTTTCTTAAAACAAATTTGATAATTTAGATAATGTAGCCAATTTTTACCTAAACGTAGTGGTTGTTGTCGTTAGTAGCAATTGTGGGAATGCTCCTTGTCGACAAAACGGTGATGCCTTTGGCCGAAATGACTGCGATAACTGCAGATAATAAGACGAATTGTATCATAGAAAGTTTAGGTGAGTGAAAGAAATAAAAAAAAATCAATTCACAGACTCCTTTTACGGGATTTTCCCCTTTGATGGGTGTGTCTGTATACAAATTGTTGAGAGTTTCCCCTCAAGCGGGTGCAAATGACCCCTCTTTTGCTCTTTCACTGTCATCTCTTGTGTCCCTTTCTTCGCAAACTCTCACAGTCGTGACCATTCACCCATTTTGTCAAAAATTCCTTTCTTCTGCTTTTCTCTCTTCACACCTCACTACTTTTTAGTAGTTAGTCGACAATGAGTTGTTTCGCAAAAATTTGTGGTACTTCATCGTTGAGTAAAATGAAGATTTGGTAAAACATTCCCTTTTCTGTACACACTATTTCAAAAGAGTTTTCAAGACTCAATGAGTACCAATCCCTCGTTGACAAATAAACAAAACAAATATTACAATAGGAAAATCTAAACTGAACTTGGTATACAGGGTTTTCAATAATTACCCGAACTCGGTATTTTAGAGTGTAACACACAGATTGCAATCATCTCACACTTTTGTTTCAATAGAAAAGTGAAATATTTTTCTACGGTTTTTGGAGGATTTAATAAAAAAAAATTTTGGTGGTCGTGAACGTTTCAGCGCTAAATTTAGTTTTATTAGGTTACTGTAAAGAAATATTCTTTGCGTGCTTGGTACTCTTCACTCAAGACACGTTATTTCTTTTTTTGAGATATCTGATCTCACTTGAACTAAAAAAGCACTTTATTCAATAGCCGACTGACTCGGAATCTTTGGGCTCTCACTTGAGCAACTTTCACACAAGATCGACAATTGAATTAAAAGTGACAATAAAAACAGAAACAATTTCGTCCTAATTAGGACACAACTTTCACACAATGAGAGGAAAGCAGTAAAGAAAATGAAAGATAACAAAAAACAAATGAACAACAGTTGCCTTATGAACTGCTATAACAGCTAACAAGCTACAAAACAATAAATGATTTGGGGCGCGAAATAAAATGAAGGCGCACCGATTTCCTCAATATTTTTCCAATTTTTAGGCTGTCAGGGTTAGATAATTTTTAGTGGCTATTCGCCACACTCCGACCTCCAAAATGATTCAGAGTTTACTCTGGATTCTCCCCACCAACGCAAAATGTGAAGCGGAAACTTGTTCTGCGACAATCTTAACAGAGAAAGTTTCAATTTTCCGAGGAAACCTTGTGCACCAGGAATTTTGTAGGGAAGGATTTAAATCTTGAAAAAGAGCAAATTTTTGAACGAGAGTGGGGGAAGGAAAACACAATAACTAATATTTGGATGAAGACTGGTTTTTGATCATTTCGATTCCAAGTTTTTCACGAAAGCCACATGATGTCGACCGCTGCAATGGCTGCAGGAGATTTGTTTGTTGCAGAGATTTGTTGCAGGGTCCCGGATGCTCTTTTAAGCAGTTCTTCGAGATTTGGCATATTCTGTTCATTGTTGCGATCCTCATTCTGTCAAAATATTCAATCTTCATTGAACACTTGACTATATCTTTGCAGGTTTTGGTTCCACAGAAGATGCAATCTTTTTCACGTGACGTTGAGTGTTGGTTGTTATTACTTTTCGCTTCCATGGGTGGTTCATCTGGATCGTTCAAGTCTTCAATCAGCTCTCGCTTCAGCTTATTGAGCTGTTGGTTGATCGTTTCTTCAATGTTCTCCCTTCCATTCGACGAACATTTCCCTCAAGTCGTCTTTGATTGAGGCCGAAGTGGCGAGTGTCTCCGTAAAAATCGCGTTCGATAGCTTGTCCGTTGTTTCGTTGATCATCGACGTGATTCCCGAAAATTTCTCGTCCATCTTCTCCATTAATTGCTTCACCTCGAGCGTATTGGGACTCTCTATCGTGGTGCCCTCGTTTTTGGCAGACATCTCCTGTAATTTAAACATTGAAATGTTGTTTAAAAGAAATCTTGTTGAAAGAGAAATTTTAAGAAAGGGGGAAAACTTGATACAAATAACGTTCGAAGGGTTAATGATTTTGATTTAAATTTTTCAATATTAAATTCACAAGGTTGTGGTTCGGAAAAATATGCAATTTGTTACGGAAGCGCGAGCTTTGTTGCTTTTGTCGAAATGCTCAGAAATCGTCATCTGGCGCTTTCCAATAATTTACTTTGCCTTTTGCGGCTCTTGGCGTACTGTTTCGTAGTGTTGCTTTTTCGACGTAATTTCCGCACGGTTTTTCAAAATTTTCTTCAGCGCGAATTTCTAGTGGGATCAACAGATTGATTGGTCTTTCAATTTGCTTATTATTGCCTGTTTTGACAATAGCACTTCGAATTTTCCCATCTGCGCCTGCCATTAAGCGTATAATTTTGCCCTTTGCGTAAGAACCTCTTTTACGTCTTCCTTCATTATCAGCACAATTTCGCCAAATTGAATAGCTATTTTGATTCTCGCTTACTTGCGTGTTGTTTGCCGCTTTCTCGTAGTGAGTGCATGTAGCTGTTATGGAATGTTTTCCACACCCAAGTTTAGGTAGTATTCTGTGGTTTCAATTTTTCTTTTGACATCTTCCTTGAGTTTGTATAATTTTTGTCTTGATAATCCGGATCGCTCTGATCTGCGCAACTTTCAATTTCAAGGTTCAATTTTACGCCGGGTAACAGAAAATCTATTGGGCGAATCAATCTTTCTGACTGTTCTTCGTCTAAGTAAGTCAAGGGGCGGCTGTTGACAAAGCCTTCAATTTCTACTATGATAACCTCCAGTAGTTGCTTGGATATTCCTCTTCCGTGTTTTATCTTCCCCAGTGCTAGTTTGACACAACCGATTAATCTTTCATATATCCCTCCCTGCCACGGTGCATGTGGAACCGTAAATTTCCATTGTATACCATAATCGGCTAGGGTTTGGATATTCACGAAGTTCCCTCGATTTCTTTTGCATTCTTTACAAATTTATCCCTCAATTTGAATGTTTTTAGCATTATCTGTCAGAATGAGTTTAGGTTTTCCACGACGAGCGCAAAATTTTCTCAGACTTTCTAGAAACGTGCTGGTTCGTAATGAATCTACAATTTCTAGGTGAATATTCCTTGTACACACACTATGAGTAGAACGATCCATACGTCTATTTTGACGTCTAGTGCTGAGTCGTAGATCAATACTGGACCCATGTAATCTATTCCCGGTATTCTCAAATGGCAAACTGCGATTTGTTCGAATCTTTGAGGTAAGGTGCCCATGCCGGTTGCTTGTATGGGAGCCCATTAAAATATTTGCATAAGACGCATCTTTGTGTAACTTTTTGACTGCTTGCCGCCCTTTGTAAATCAAAAATCTTTGACGAATGCTTGCTAATGTTGAGGCAGTGCCTGCATGACCCATTTGTTTGTGGTGATGTCTTATGAGTAGTGTGCAAAAATGGCTATTCGGCAAAATTACAATTGGTTTTGAATTTTGGAAGTCACTAAATGTCTCTGACATCCTGTCAACTTTTCGGCAAATTCCCCATTCGTCCTTCTCAACTTCGCGTGCCTTTTCTTTCAATTTTTTCTCATTTTCACTTTGATGTTGTTTTATGAGAAGTAACTTGGCGTTTTTAGGAAATCGGCCGGTCTATCAATGATGGATGAGGAAAATTAACAAGCTACCCATCAATCCTGTGTTGAAGCCAATTCCATCGTGTCGACTAGATCCGCGAAGTGGCGACGAGAGATTTTTCAGTGTGTGATACACTTTAAACTTTTTTTGTTTCATTCAATTTTTTGTAACCATTTTAATGTTGATCATAATTAAATCTGTTTGATGACTTGTAAATAGATTTGATGATCTTCAGCTATTTTGTTTTTACGATTTGATTAATGAAATGAATTTCGATGTTTCTTCAAGAGAGTAAATATTTTGATTTATAAAAGAAATTGAAGTAAATGTAAGTGCTCAAATTTTTGACAATATACAGAAAAAAG